ATATTAAATCACTGTAATAAATACAATACGGCTATTAGAGCTAGAGAGCTTCTGTTATGCTATAATGACTGTAATGGGGCCACACCCATGATATCATAACACTGTGGTTCATCAATTGCTGTGATTCATCTACGGTATAATGTGCGCTGCAGTTGGATCAGATTTTCTATAACATGCCTATTTTTCATTTGACTGCAGTAAAAGCTGATCTACTATCACTTATAGCAATAAAGAGATGAAGTCAATTATGCCTGGCTGGGTAAAAAGCCATGACACTCATTATAACACATAATTCAAGACATTTCAGAATTTGAAGCGCTCTCTCCAAAAGATTTCTTTATTTTCTCAAGGACATCAGTTGAAATGAGGTCCTGTAGTGTTTTGGGTAAAGATAAGGATTCACAGGAAAGAGTGGCAGTATCAATACTTTGCATCAGAAGTAGCAAAAAACATAAAAATATTTTGGACTGTATATGTATATCAATTTTGGAGTGACTGTGATGCAGTGAGGAGCCTACTTGTTAGTTTCAGTGTTGTGAGTTTGATGGCTGTTGCCTGAATATGAATCATATTCAGCCCGTGGTATCACTGACAGCTCGCCACCCATCCAGAAACAAAACACCACATTCTGCAGCTGCATGTAAACTGTTGCTGTTATTTATGCCCGAGAAATACCAAAACCTATTCCAACCATTTTCATGCTCACACACTGTGGAGGGCTCTTTGTCTCTCTGTATCTCTGTGTGTATGTGCAGTATGTGTGTGTGTGTGTGTGTGTGTGTGTGTCAGTCTTCTGTCGTTGTTAAAACCAGTTATATTTTACACATCGCCATTTTTGCATTTGTCAGAAGGTCATTTTGACAAGTCTTCATTTTGTAAGGCTTAGTTTACAGGGTGCATGTAGAGATTTTTTTTGTCGTGACAAGTTTGCGATGGGTTACCAGGCTTTCACACACAAGCACAGCTTCACACACAGCAAGGATGTTGTTTCTGTTGCGGCTGCACTCTCCTATACCGCTACATGTGCATGATTAAACAGGGCACACCTATTTGATTTCCTGCTGGGTGTTTCCACCCCAAGTTTCAGCTTCATTAAACCTTGACCTCAAAATTCACTGACCTCTACAAGGCACAGTCTACTATGTGCTGGTTGGAGTTCTAACCACAGCTGTAACTGTACACTGCATCGTATTGATCAAGTCATAAACAGAAGTATCCAGGAGGCCAGGGATGCAGTATGTTTACATATTCTGTATCAGCGCTGACCCTGAATAGCTGACTATTTGACAATTCGGTCCAAGAAGGATCTAAGGAGCCTGATTTGACTGTCAATACATAGCCTATTTTGGCATAAATTTATGAAGGAGAGCATTCACATATGAATGTGGCGCTAATAGAGCGCTAATTATTTTTTGAATTAATTAACAACTCTGTCAAAATCAGAAGGGCGTGTATAGAAACAGGCCCCAGGAAGTGCACTTGCCTTTGAAGACAATTTCTGCAGTGGCCAAACAGTGGAATTACACTGTCACGTGATGCCCTGTGACCCAAAAAAGACTGTTTCCCACTTACATTTTGAAAGAGATGTCTGTAAATCAGTGGATAAATTTTCTTTCAGTCTGCAGAATGACTCGTTGACTCGTTTTCAGAATTTGATCCATTAGGTCCAATAACATCTTGAAAGTCTAGAAGAGCCACATGATTAAATCATTTTAACCCCATTGAAGTCAGCAGAGCACTAAACCGCAAGTAGCCAGCTTGGCCAACCCTATGGAGTTAGATTTGTGTCTTTATTACGTGCGAGAAAATAAATGTTATGAGAGAAAAAAAATGTTTGAGAGAAAAAGTTTTCACACTGATAGCAAAAAATAATAATATTTGAGACTAAAAAAGTTTTGAGAGAAAGTATTTTGTCATAGAATATAAAAAAAATAATTTGAGATTTAAAAAAAGGTTTCTGAGAAAAAAAACCTCTCTCTCAAAAAACTTTTTTTATACTCTCAATTGAATTGACAGCTGGGTGAGGATCGTCTTGGGGGTCGAATTCAACTGGATTATTCATCATCTGTGTCATCATCTTACCCAGACATTGGAGTCTCTGCTCCCAAATAACGCAGCGCATCTATGCCGGTGAATCGACCATGGTGGATGAATGATTCAGTTGAATTCGACTCCCAACACGATCCTCACTCAGCTGTCAATTCGATTGAGACTGGCCAATAGGAATGTGGCCCCGCCCATGACATTATTTTCGCAGCGAAAGCAAAATCCTGACATGAGAGCAAAGACTAAGGTTTTGAGAGAGAGAAGAAAAATGTTTTGAGAGAAACAATTTTTTTTGAGAGAAAATGTTTTCACACTGATAGCAAAAAAATAATATTTGAGAGTAAAAAAAGTTTTTTGAGAGTTTTTTTTAAATCTCAAATTTTTTTTTATATTGTATGACAAAATACTTTCTCTCAAAACTTTTTTCAGTCTCAAATATTATTATTTTTTGCTATCAGTGTGAACACTTTTTCTCTCAAACATTTTTTTTCTCTCATATCATTTATTTTCTTGCATGTAATAAAGACACAAATCTAACTCCATAAACCCGGTCTCACTCCAAAGTTGTCAAAATCTAGCGGTTGGGTAGTGACTTGCAGCGTCAGTCACCGATGATAAAAGCTGTCCTTTAATGATGGCATGATACTTGGCCTGGCGCCGTTATAGTTTAACAGCACCTGGCGGCTTCACAGGGAAACACGGTGGGACAAGAACAGAAAGTTAAGGCGGCGAAAGTCTGACTGGGGCAAGCGTGAGCGGTGGTGGATGGGTTCAACAAACACCAGCTTTCACCCGGGAGAGCGGTGCTCGTGTCCCATAAGATTATAAAGCCAAACCCTCTTCTTATTCCTCAACCCAACCAGGTGTTTTTGTTGCCTAAACCCAGCCACATGCGTCTGATGTTGAAGGAAAAGAAATGTCCATTTGCGGTGTTGTACTGATGTAGTGCGTTTAATTTGAAAGAGACTGTGTGTAAACGTTAAATTTCCTGTGAAAACTCAAGTGTATTTTGAAATACACACAGTGTGGAAGCAATCCAGATCATCTGGATAATTTTATATGCAGCAGTTGGTCTTATTTGGCTTCCTGCACCACTGGGCAACATTCATAGGAATGAACCGGCCCCACCTCCAAAGCTGTATCCAGGTTTCTTCACACATCCAGGCTTGCATCTCTATCTAAGGGCTAAAAGATCTATTTAGAACCACAAAAAGGAAGGCTATGAAATCAAACTAAGAGCCGTGTTCTGTCTGTCTGAACACGTATTATGAAATATATTTATATGCCAAGGCAAGAGCGTAAATTGTTTAATTGGGTGTTTCAGCTTTTGTTGTCTTGTGTGGGGAAAAAATAGAAGCCACTCTCTCAAATGAGAATATGGATTAGTGACCAAAAAAACAAATGATTAAATAAAGTGTTAATCAGTCAACAATAGGCAAGACTTGACCAATCAGAGAGTCAGAGATGCCCCTATTCCATATGCCATCCACATTTTGTATGTTTATAAAATTGTTTTAGTACATTTTGTTTTAGCACTGCATTGAAGCTGCTCCAGCTATTATATTTATAGTTACAGTGGGACATATGCGTAATGTGAAAGGTGTCACTTATAATGACACATGCTTTATCCCCTATATGAGAGTATGAGACGGTTTTATCTGATTGGTCCAGTCTGACTCCAATCATACTGATCACAACCACCTGTTTGATGAATGTGTGTGTGACTATTGCTTGTTCTGCTTTGTGATGGTCATTTGACCATGCTTGACGATGAAGAGTTTTTTGTCTGATTTTTGTCTTCAGTTTGTTTCATGATGCAGCACCTTTGGAAGTTTGGTGTGCACCCCTACACCCTGTTGGTCCTTTGTAGTGACAAACCCACAGAAAATGATAACTTATTTTCTGCCGCTTCCGCAGCTCATTATGGTTTCTTTAGGCTCATTCTATGAGTGGCCCAAAACTTTAATGTTTAGGTTCACTCTCACAGCTCTCATCAGCCTGATGTCCAATAAAAGCAGTCAGCTGAAACCCACAATATGCTACCTACTCAGCCCCAAACAGCAGACAAAGTTAGTGAAGAAGAAAGTGGAGCATTTAGCCGCTAAAGAAACAGATCAGATTTTCTTAGGAGTTGGTGCAGACTTTCTTTGCATGTTGCTTAACACATCCTGGCTGACATGTTAGCTGATGAAGATGACCTTGTTGTCCTTTGACTTGTTAGATTGTTTTGTTAATCTTTGATAATGTCAGACTCTTGTTTTAAAATAAAAACATCATGAGAACGTACACTTATTAAGAAGAACTGAATGTGATGTTAAAAATAAATGACCCACGCAGCATGCAGGTATATATGCCAGGAAAGTTTTCTCTCGTCTTACTTTGCTTCTGCTTTGTGAAACTCACTTTACAGTTTACTGTTTTTAGACTTATTTTATACTGTATTTAACAAATCTTCCTTTGCTTTGCTTCTTTATTTCATCATGGTTTTAGTCAGAGGTTAACAAATGGATGCAGTGAATGTGAGTCCATAATAACGCAACTGTTAGTGTGTGTTTGTGTGTTTGCGTGCATCTGTGTTTGTGTGTGAGAGGGGTTGGAGGTTAACAACTGTACATTTGACCCCTCCTACTTCCTGCACCACCATCACATGACCCCCATGACTGTGATGATGTCTTAACTGTAGCAGTGATGTCATTTTGATGGCGGTGATGTCACGGTATGCAGGTCATCGCTCTCTCTGTAGTTGGTGGATTGTGCTGTTTCTAATCCCTCATCTCTCTGCTCTCTTATGTCTCCCTCCTTCCCTTCCTCTCTCCTTTGCCCTCCTTTCTATCTGTCCTCATGTACTTCTCCTTCTTTCTCTCCTCCTGTTTTATCCTCTTTCTCTTCCCTCTGTATCTTTAACCCTAACCCACCTCCCTTCCCCCCTCTGTGTCTTGTTTTCCCTCCATCAGGTGTCCCAATGACTATACGGGGGACCACTGTCAAAACTCCGTCATGGCCGGTTTCTACAGTATGTCCATTTGCTCTTGTCTGTCTCCTTCTCACTGAGATGCTGCATGCTACATCGGAGGGGTTGGATGGAGGGAGCGCTGTGTGTGTGCGTGTTTGTTTGCAAACCTGCTCTCGTGTTTCATGTAAACTGACGTAAGTGTGTGTGAATGTGAGTTTGCATGCCTCTATGTCCACCCCTTCCTCTCCTTGTCTCCCCTGGTTCCTCCGTGGTGCTCCTCTGGTCACCAGAAACAAACAATCATATATTTTATCATTTAGAATTTACACCTAAGACATGTTTCACACCAGTTCATCTGCCTGTATTCTTAAATAGTGCACATTACATACTGAGATACTTGACCTAGAAAGCTGCTAAAAAAAACATTTTTTCGTTGTTTCTACTCTTACATTTTAAAATTCTGTGGTTTTTTTTAGCTGTAAATTGCACACAAAAAATTTCTATTGCAGCTTGATCCAGAGAACTGCACAAACAGAAACAGAGGGGACAGAGAATTAACACAATAATAAAAACAGGAGGTTGGATTTATTTGTTTCTGTTGGAACACTTTGTCACTTTTCTTTGTAGATGGTCCATCGGTGCTGTTAAGACTTTTAGCACAAAATAAAAGGCAGATCAAGACTTAACTATGTGAATAAAAATTCTGAATACAAGGTTGAGAGTTCTCACTCTGTGTTTTGCTTCCCTTCCAAACAAAGAGAAAAGTCTCATTGATTTTATATTTTGGAGTAGGAGCACGACTGACAATTGGAGGCTTTAGATGGAGAACAATGTAAGTCCTTCTGACATTGTTTTGAACAGCCGCCAGTCATTACGAGAAGCTACAGTGTGTCCACAATCCAAATAATTTGGCAAGTGAATAAGAATGAGATTTAGGGTCAGAATATGTTCAACAATTCAAGTCTTAATGTAATGAGATTTGAAAACATCACTCATGGTTATATCTATCTGAGGGTCAGTCCCTTTGTGATATTGATTTTCATAGTTTCAGTGGATTCTGTCCTGAACTAAGAGATTAGAGCTTATAGCTTGTTGTTTATACTCTGAGCATCCATGGATCATCTGATAAAATCTTTCATTATGGCATGTGGCTAAATGCTGCTTGACATGTTCCAGGGTTGATTTCTACTATGTTCAAAATGCTGTCACATGTTTTGCTCCTCATTAAAGTTTAATTGAATTAAAGGAATAGTTTGACATTTTTGTTAAATGCACATATTTACTTTGGTTTGTATTATGTGTCTGAAACAACAGCCAGGAAAGATTTGGCTTGGCTTAGCATAAAGACTGGAAACAAGAGGAAACATCTATCCTGGCTCTGACCAACAATAACAAAATCCACCAACCAGCACCTCTAAAGCTCACTGATTCACATATTAAACAGATCGGCGTCCGTGCGAGCTGGCTATTACAACCTTTATTTACATTTATTGTTAGGCGCTGACCTCTAGTAGCAGTAGTAGTTATGAAGTCAGGTGATGTAGCAGGATGCCAAAATTTCTTTCCTAGGATGGCAAAGGCTTCATCTGCTCTACTCTGTCTCTGATTGGGTAGTCGTCACTGCCTTTGGTGGTTGAATTGGTTAGGTTGAGGCAAGAGGAGTGAGATTGGTTAGGGCGGTGGTTCCCAACTGGTCCAGCCAGTGGCGGTGAACAGAGAAAATTCATGATGAATTGAAGCATAGGGGTCCACGTTTAACAACATCAAAACTATATCAAAACATCCTTTTAGAAACTGCCATACAAGTATACAGTATAATCCAAGTTCATTTATCCAGACGCTTGCTCATTGCTTCCCAAACAGACGGCCCTTTCAGGCAGAGAATTAAACTACAAGTGAAATTTAACTGACTCTGTGGACAAAAGCAGTAATTTTCCTCGCTGAACATGGGAGCTGCTGGTCTTTCGATGCCTCAATCAGTTAGTTAGTTTGTGTTATTGTGTGACAGTGTTCACTTATTGTGTGACAGTGTTCACTTTTCAGTTCAGTTCCTTGTCCGAAAGAGCCGTCTGTTCGGGAAGTACTGAGCATACGACTGGATTTATCAGACTTGGGTTATATTGCATGAGTTGTGTGAGAGTTTGTAAATGGATGTTTTGACATCTGTTGTTAAAGGTGGCCCCCATTAACTTAAAATTCATCAAGCATTTTTATTCTGTTTTTGGATTCTTTGTTCACCATGTTCACTTCACAAGTAAAACGTTTTCAACATGAATTCTATGTAACACGAGGTGAGTAACTGATACACAAGTGATGGTTTTGGGGGTGAAGCATTCCTTTCCTGTGTTAAGTCTTTGTACATAAGTAAGGTAACTGCCTACTGGCTGTGGCTTCACATTTAGTGCAAAGACATAAGCATATTTCCCCGACGTCAAACTCTTCCTTTTAAAATGTCTTAAAACAAGTCTTCCCAACTGGTCCATCAACGGGGTCCAGATTTCTCCTCAGTCATTAATTCAAGGTCCATGCAATTTAATATATTCAGTGACATACTTGGGTTTGGCCATGTCGTCGAGCTAGTTTTCTGTCTCTGTCAAATAGCTGTCCGCAGTCACTGACTCCATAGCATAAAATAGCACTTCACAATAAAAGCTCTGTGCCAGAAATTCACTGTAATTCAAAATAAAGTGCATTTTTACAAACACGACACCCTGCAACCCACTTTTGGATCGTGGCCCACCAGTTGGGAACCACTGGGTTAGGGTAAAAACATTCTCGGAACCCATCAGCTGTATTCGGCGTCTGACTTCCGGCAAACGGCGATACAGCCTCTGGGGGCAGACCCCGATTTTTTGGCATTCCGGTTTGATTTGGGCGGAGGAGGCAAATTTCCGTTTCCAACTTCCATTTATATATAAGTAAATATGCTGAACCATTGCGATGGATTCAGAGTTTGCAGTGACGCCAATTATGTTCCGCCTCATTAGTTCACCGCACGGACCGTTTATCCTGGCAACAACTGCAGCCGGCTCAAACGTGGTTGGTCAATATCATGCGGACTACAAACTACAACCGGAAACCAGGGCTCTTTTGCTCTTCTTCCGGAGGCAAGGACTCCGGGGTTTGCCTACAGTCAATGAATGTGAATGTAGAGTCTGTATATAGAGACTAATTTAACTGTAACTAAATTGTAAACTATGTGTAAAAACTACAACTTGTGGTTTTAGAAGCTGATGTGTCAAACTATTTTTGGGCATCTTCTGGTCTTTATGCTAAGTTAAGCTAACAGTACCCTGGCTCTAGCTTTGTATTTACTGCACAGACATGAGATTGGCATCGATTTTCTAATCGAACTTTTAGCAAGATAGCAAATTTGCAGATGTTCAAAATGTCTAACTATTCCTTTAAATCATAGGGATGCAGTGGGGCATGTTTTGTCACTCCTGTGATTGCATGGGCAGTGACACCGAAACACCTATTGGTATAATCAGGTGATAACCAGAGATTTCAGGACACGTGCATAAAAATTTAGCACTGCACAGAAGGTCCAATGATTCCTGTTGGTTTGGCTAAGTTACTTTCATATATAAAAAGTACTCCTCCCTCCACTGGCTGCGTCATGCTGCTGTTACTGGCTCAGCAATCACAGGGAGATAAAAAAAGAGGGATGAAAATCACCCTCTTCTTCTTGTTTCCAGGGGTTAAACACTGTTGCTCCACGCCATGTTGTCTTGCTGTTTGTCTGTTGTGGAAGTTTTCACGCTGAATAATGTCTTTAAACCAAGAGCAGGTTTTACATCATGAGATATCACACTATATGTAATGTATACTTATTTTGACCCCATCATCCAGCCTTGTCCACATGCTGAAATCTGTCTGCGTGCTTTTATTTTGCACTGTGACACTCTTTCAGTCAGCTGAAGGAACGCTTTCTGCTGTTTTAAATCCATGTTGATTTGTTACCGGTGTGATCATTAAGCACTGTCAGAATGTAGAGTAGTTCAGGTCAGGGCGGACTTAAGATTGGCTGGCTTTTCATATGGGCATCTCTCCTTACAGCCAGTAATGCATGCAAAGCCATGGAAATTGGGAATGCCGAGATGATTTCTCTGTAAATCATATGAAAGGTTATAATAGCTGTACGCAGCAGTAGTGGGACAAAGTGCTATACAAGAGGTATGCTGTAATCAATACGAAGGCACACAATTGCCATTAGTCAAGCGAGTTACAGCGCCCACCCCCATTTGCTGTGCCAGCCTCATCGACTGTACTGTGTTTTTATGTTGGAGAGTAACTCACTGCTTTTTATCTTTTGTTTTCTTGTTTTTTTTTTCCTTTTGTCTTGTTTTTTTATTATGATTTTGTTTTGTATTTCTGTCCGTTGTTTACTCCAGAAATGAGGTCTAGTAAATATAGCAGTAAGTGATGTGGCTTCTTGTCTTGCTGTCTTTGTCCGACTGTCTCTGCATGCCTTTTCCTGCCTGTTGGCTTCTCTTTCCTTCTGCCTTTGGTTCATTTTCTCCCTTCGCTTTTGATTTGGTTTCGTTCCGTTTATTTGTTTATTTTTTTCCTATCATTTCTGGGGGTCACAGAGCTGAGGCTGTCTGAGTTGTCTGTCTGTTACTGGACGGTACACACGTCAATCACTATGATTGACAGCACTAATTAACTTATATTCTGGTTCAGCGTATATAGGACATGAAAATAATCTATCTGCTCCAAAGTGGACATTACACCTGACCCTATCTGTCTCTTTCCTTTTACCACGACAACTTTCTGCGCTGGCAGAGATTCTCAGAATTAAATTAATGGGTATGGAACATTATTATTCATTTTGCTGTGCTTAAAGGGTTTGCCAAGATCCTCTCACAGTCACACATTATTGTGCCATCTTCTTTCTAAAACCAACAACTGGGTCTCCCTCAACCTGTCCCTCTTTTTCTCCTGCCCACTAACCTGCTTTTAAGACACGTAACCTCCCCTATCTGCATGCACTCTTCTTACAGTCTGACAAATTTGGACAAGCGTAGACAAATTAACTGGGAAGGACGCATTAATGAGAGAAAGTGCAGAAAACACAATGTAATGGGCCTGATACGAATCAATGCTGTGTTTACCTGGACACCATATCAGAGCAAAAGCTACCTTTCTTTGTCCAAAAATCAGAGAACGTTTCACATCATCGATAAATACAAGTATCTGGCTCGTCCTCTGGGCTTTGGCAATGTGCGTATTGGCTTCAGCAGCCTGTCGAATAGAAACATGCAAGCTGCGAGTATTTTTGCAAACCGTTGCCAAGAGCGAGCAAAAGGCCTGACCACATAGTCTGTCCTTATTATTCTGCCCTTGATTGACTCAGTGTCAGAGTCAAGAGCTCGCCTGTCCTAAATCACGATTGCTGTTGGCTCCACCGTGCCAGCGAGCTCGCCTTCCCATTTCCCTTTGCCTTTGTGTATCAGTACCCTGTGACACACACACAATGCCGGGCCAAGGCTCTCGTAGGCTTGTCAATCCCTACAGAGGCCCTTTATTTAGAAACCCCCCCTCTCCCCTCCTCCCTCGCCCCCTTTCCTTCCTCTACAGTGGCGTGTCTAGAGCTTTTTGAGGGAGGGGAGACAGGAAAAGGTGAGGTGAGGTGATGATTTAGGTAAAGGGGACAGCGTTTGATTCACCTGCCCCTGTTTCAAGCAGATCTCTGAAATACAGTAAATCAATAAAGTCAGCTTTCTGATGTATTTTACTGTATTTTCAACTAACTTTTTTTCCCATAAGAACTACAGCTAGATAAACAGTCTGATAGGTGTCACTGTGTTAAGCTTCAGTTTTGAAACATTTAAACTAACACACGTTTGTGTAAGAGAAGCTTTATGACATTGAAAAACAATGATTTATCTTCAGTGACTTTAATTCGGCCATAACCAACAACCCAAGGGCGTCTATAATCCAGTTTTAGTTGATAAGGGGACAAAGTCAGGCCAATCTGTGGTTTCTGGGGACTAGTTTCTCCCTGGGCCTTTTGCCCTGGACACGCCCCTGCTCCCCTCTCAGTCCTTGCTCCTCTCCCTCTGTCTACATGTCTCCTCCTGCTCCTCCTTCCTGACCTCTTAGCCTTTCCTCCTTTTTTCTCCCTCCCTCTTCCCCTCATGTTCTGTTCTGTTCGTTGCTCCCTCTGTCATTGTGTCGTTGCGCTTTCCGTTCTGACACAGAGTGTTACACCACAGCAGGCCCAGAAATCTAAATTAACCTAGATACACCAAGATGGAAAAGTATTCACACCGCATCACCACAAACCTGTTGGAAGTTAAGTAGTTCAGTGTAATGTGATCCAAATCTGTCTGGGGATGTTCCCAAATGCAGGTTCCAACCGTGACATTAAAGTGCTGTAAACAACTCGTCCTGTCACCAGCAAACACTTTGTAGACGTCCTACAAATCTCTCAGATGTAGCTGGGGAATTGTAGGTGAGCAAACAATAAAATGTAAAAGAACTATATTGACTACTTAAAAAATTATTTCTATTGGCCAGTTCAATCGCCTCATAAGGAAAAGTTAATTCAATCAATCAATCAATCAAACTTTATTTATATAGCACATTTTCATACAATAAATTGTAACACAAAGTGCTTCACAGAATAAAAAGACAAATGTGCAATGTCTGAGAGAACTGAGGTAATGCCATCAGTGAGGAAACACTGGAGGTAAAATATAAGTAAGAAAACCTAAAAATAAAAGTGTTAAAAAAAAATAGCTAGAATAAGAGTAAATAGAAATAGCAATAAAATATATAAATAGAAATAAAAATAAAAATAAAATAAATAAATATATATAAAAATACATAAATAAAAGTATATAGATAAATAGAAATAAATTGCTAAAAAGGTCACTTTAGAAGCATATAAGATATATAACTAAAAGTTATCAATAAGAAATAAATAAAGGATTTAAAATATATGACAATGATAAAATGTCTAAAAAAGTTCAATAAATAGATGAGAAATAAGTAAATAAATAAGATTGACTTTTATGGTAGCTTATATATCTAAAGCTAAAACAGTCAAATTATTACATAATATTAATGGAGAACTCAGAAGTAACTATTACAAGATACTGTAGTGCATTTCATGGCAAATTCACTCCAACATCTAAAAAAAATGACTAACACCATGGATTTTTGGAGGTGGCAGCAAAACGCAGCTTTCAGCCTGCTGTTATGTTACTATTTTATTTTAAAACTAACAAAGTTTAGAAATTAAAGATGTTTGCATTAACAAAAAAATTGAAACCTCACTCTCAGTGGGAGTCAACAGGTTTAATTTCTCTTTCCACCTTTTGAAATGTCACTGTTTATACTGTAGTCTTTCTTACCAAAATAATCTCCAGTATGACCACCACAGTGTTACCTAAAAAACTTCGAACTTAGTGTCGTACAAGTTCACGCTTTACAAGAGCTTGCTCAAAGTTTACTTCACACAAATAAAAATTAGTTCACATTCAAAGTTTACAGTCCCAAAAATGTAAGTCTTCCTTTTTATTTTTATTTGATGTGTCGTCTCAAATTTGTTGCCAATGTGGCCGACATTTGGACATTTTTTAAAAACCTGACGGGCATTATTTGCATAAAAATGTGAGATTTTTTGTCCATTGCAATCTGTACTGATTTACTCATGAAGCTCCTTCAAACATTCTAGATTTGGATTCAGCAGTACTAGTTGCTGCGCTGTCTGAAATGCGAGTTGTACTAATGTTAGCCAAGCGCGCAGCTGTTGTAAATCTTCTGGTGCACACATTGTACACGCTCACGTTCGCGTTAATTCATTGCAAACGAATATGTTCAGTTCACCATTCACTAAAAACATGTCAGATGAATACGTTCCTTTATGATGAAAGCGTACAAAAACATTATCTGGTCACACAAGCACAGGAAATAAAAGGTAAAATAGCGACAGATAATTAAAGCACATATACAGTATATTCCTGTAATTAATAACATAAATTATTGTCCAAGACAGTCACAGTTAGGGTTGGCACCATATTGATATTATATAGATATAGTAATATTAAACTAGATATCATGCTAGATTTTGGATATCTAAATATTAAGTGTTGTCTTTTCCTGGTTTTAAAGGCTAAATTACAGTAAGGTGATGTAATTTTCGGAACTTACCAGACTGTTCTAGCTGTTGGACTATTTGTATTTACCCACTTAGTCATTATATCCACATTACTGATGATTATTAGTGAGAGATTCACAAGTCAACCCTAAAATGCAAATTCAATATCGATATCGAGATGTTTGATTAAAAAAATATAGTGATGCTTATTTTTCTCCGTATCGCCCAGCTCTAGTTACAGTTATGGTGAGCTCTGTGAATACCAAACTTTTATCCTCTCAGGCCACTGTGGTGTCAACACCTTGAACAAAAAATGCTTTTATAATTTTTTCATTGTGATGACGTGTCTTTTAATTATTCCATTCATACAGGCATGCATTCAGATCCCCTCCAGTGCCATCTGTAGCATTACATCCCCATGGCCATTGTAGAAACACGTGTGTAGGGACAGCAGGAAGTCTCAGTCAGGATGCTTTTCATCATAATATTTCTGAGCTTGTAGAATTACTCCTGTGTTGTAGTAGCACTGTTTGACTGTAGTACAGTTAAAACTGAGAGGCATGTGACATGATAGAGCAGGAGTTGTTTCACAGACAGACAGCACAGGGGATATGATGGCAGCAGATAATAGTGAGAAAAAAACTGTTTCTGTAGTTACCATCAATGGAGTAAGGCTCATGCTGCTCGTGTGTGTGTCTGTGTGTGTGCGCGCGTATTCTTGTCTGTTCTGTGACTGTCTGTCTGCCAATGCATGGGTGTGTGTGTGCATGTGAACATGTGTGTGTTTGTATGTGTGTGTGTTTCTATCCACAGAGGCTGAGGAGCTCTACCAGAGGCGGGTGCTGACAATCACGGGCATCTGTGTGGCACTGCTGGTGGTTGGCATCGTTTGTGTGGTGGCCTACTGCAAAACCAAGTATGTGTCTCTGGAGGAACCATGACTGTCTTTTATGAAAGGCTCAAAACCTTTAAATTAACCCACTGAAAAAAACAACAACAAAAAAACCCATTGTAATGCACTTCCTCTTTTCATGCTGTAGAGCAGTGGGGGAAGAAGTATTTAGATCCTTTTCTTAAATAAAGTACAAACTGAAAAATAGAAATTTACTGTATGAGCTGGTCAAGGTCGAGCTTGACCAGCTCATACAGTAAGTAGTTAGGTCTAATGGTTCCCAAAGTAGGGGTTGGGGCCCCTACAAAAGGGTTTACAAGTAGGGTTGGGGGCCAGTGTGAAATTTTTCAAACTGGTTTGATATTAAGAGCCGAACTGGTATACCGAATTTTACCCACTTGACTCAGCAGCCACTCTGGACTAGAACATAATGACACTTTGTCTTAACAGCAAACAAGCGTCCGGCTATTATGTTGCATCGCATAACAACGGAGCTCTTTGTCCACACTGAATACATTAAATGTGCACTTCTGTCACGTCATGTAAACAAACCACATTGCCATCAACTGATCAACTGTGCTCTGCAGATCAGACGTAACTGCTTAAAAGAAGAGCGAGTAGCCATCTTGCTGTCTTCTTATGCTTGTAACATTACTTTTTAAAACAGAAAACATGTTCGATATTGTGAAATTTACTGGAAATGACACATAATTTAGCCAACAGCAAGTAGCTAGTAGCTAGTTTGTTATTAGCATTGGTCCTTTACATTAGCATCCCTTAGATCTTCTTCGAGCCAGCTGACACCTATGTTGGTTTTTGTTGTGAAATAAAGAGGTGTCAGCCATTCCTTTTCCATAGCAGTGCTCTCAAAGCATGCAACATGTGGCCAATTAATAGAAATAGGCCGTCCAACAAAACTTCAGCTCCAAACGGTGCACAGCATCAGCCAGTTAGGGGACCTCTTCCGTCAGGTTCAAATCTAAAATGCTGCCATATTGGTGCAGTTGTGTTTTTTTTTTGAGAGAGACTAACTCTGCTGTGTTTCCTCTTATCACTGCCCAAAAAACTCCTTCATGTTTCCCTCCTCAGCTCATGGCCAGTCAAACTGTTGTCTCTGTTAGTCCATTATGTTCATCACGTTGTTATATTGCTGATTACTTATGTAATACATGTTGCATTTAGCACCGTGACGCCGTCAGCAAAGGTTGCAGATATAGGCTACTTTCTAATTTACCAGATTGTTTCATAATGACAAATGTTGGTTCAGCATTTATGGTTTAAGCTAGACCACCAAACTGGACCCACAAATCCAGACATCGACCCAATCTAAGGGCTAGTGAGCAGAGGTGTAGTGATGCCAGAGCACACCAGAACGACCACTTTCTTTCTTCAAGTGAGGAAATACAATATTCACAGTTTGTATTAAATTATTGAATTTAATTTACATTTTTTAAGTACATTGATGACATTACTGTAACGATAAAACAGTCATGTGATGAGTGGAGCTAAGTCATGAAAGCTATGGAGAGAGATTGAAGGGTTTTTTAAAGAGCAGTTTAAAAAAGTAGCGAAATTAGTCACTTTTGCCAGATCACTTATTTCATCACTTTTGCCAGATCACTTACTTTTCCCTCATCACCGTCCCTCCAGGAAGCAGAGGAAGAAGATGCACAGTCACCTACACCAGAACCAGAATCAGTGTGTGGAGCAACCCAACCGCATGCTGGCCAATGGACCCAACCACCCTGGTCCCGGTCCCGAGGAGATCCCCATGGTTGACGTGAGTCCAAACAATAGAAGCACGCAGCAGAGGCAGGTACAGGTGATGCTCAGGTCAGGTTTCACTGACAGGCTGAAAGTAACGTCACCTCCTGATGACCCTGCACTTCATGCTGAGAAGACACACACAACTGGTCGCTCCTGACAGGGTCAAGAGTTTTGCAGAGGCAGAACTGCTAGCAAGGCAGAAATAAATAAGTAACCACGATTTTTCTTTAAAGTGGGACCTACTCCACTCATTTTCAAGTTCATACTTGTATTTTGGGTTTCTACTAGAACATGTTTAATTGCTTTAATGTCTTTTATTAGAGATGCTATATTGTGCAAGAGAAGTGGTGGTTGCCAAACTGTACCAAAGACATTTTTGGCATCCATGATTTTTTTTGTTTTAGCTTCTGGTAGCCAACAATAACAATAATACAGCACAACAAAAACAGTTTGCAGTTATCTATCAGCTGCCAATCAAAATGCATACAAGTCACATTTTGAAATCTCCAGGCTGACTTTGCTTTATTACCGAAGTGCTGCTAAAATAAAGCCGGATATGCCCGTGCTTTTGATTAAATATCACTGTCCTATAAATAGGATTTTGGTGTCAAAATTTCCAGAACACCCTCAGATATTCATTGATGCTAAATTAGGAACAGAAGAAGATTGGAGAAGACTGGATTTCAACTTTACCTGAGCAAACGGCACAGGAAGTCCACAGAGCCTCGGCCGGTTCATGTGTCTTTAGGTGGAGTCACCGGTACACTTTGTTTAGCTTCGGCACTTAGATTTAACTCTACCAAGAAGCTCCTTTTAGCCTTCAGAGCAGTTTTGCCTCTGCAAGAGTCTTTGTGTAAATAAAACTCTGATCCACTGACAACACATGGAAATATGGTGGCACAGAGCTGACAGACGTTAAAGAGAGGGCAGAAACACCTACCATTCTCCTGGAGACATAATGTGCATGAGTCAGCATAATAGCAGCAATGAAAACAGTGAGGAGAGACAAGAGATGAGAGTTAACAAAAGATCTGTGCAGGAAAATCTCTCGTCATTAGACATCACTTTATATTCACGTGTACTTAATCTAAATTTACTGTATGATGTGTTTTGGAAAATATAAACATAAGTAACAAGTATTAAAATATGTTTGTGTGTGTGTGTGTGTGTGTGTGTGGGTTTATGTGTGCATTGCAGTACATTTCCAAAAGCGTCCCAACGACAGAGTGTGTGATCAGCCATGGAGCTGAGGGTGCAGGCAACTACGCAGGCAGCCGAATGTCTACCCGCTCCCACCACTCTACCACTGCCTCACATGCTTCCAGGTAGACCTGCTGCCACACATGCACATCCACATTGGCATGTATACACAGATATTCCTAATTCCTGTATTCCTATATTCCAAGTTTTTTGTCTTACATTTTCAGTTATGAACAGTTTTTATTGGGACTATTTTTTTGTAGAAAGCAGCTCCAATGAGAACTGCTGGCAGAGAGGTCTGTGGATTATCCAGAGGAACAGGAACATTGTCTCTGGAAAGAACCATTCTGGGTTTTTTTTGGTTTATTTTGTTTTGTTTTAGTGCCAAAAATAATAATAATTCCATTTATTTCTATTGTAATAAGTTGGCAGCAGAAATCTCAGCGACAGCTCTCACAAAACCTGGACAGTTAAAACCAATGCTGCCTGCGTGGGTAGAAACCACAAGAGCTAAAGGCTGATTTATAGCTGTATGTAGTCTCTACATGGAGCCTACGCTGTAGCCTATGCAAGTACCCCACACCATTGTGAGCATTTACTCCATTGTGGCGGCGTGTCTGTGTTGCTCTACAATTACGCCTCCAAAACACTAGTTGGCGGTGGGGTTTCTAAGCCACTGTATTGTGTCTCTGTGAAGTACAGAAAGTTTTATTCAATTCGACCAACACACCTAAAACATGGCTTAAAAGCAACAATATTTAACAAAAGTACAAAATTCAGCCCCATTATAACTCACAAGGTTTACAGAAAACAATTGTCTTTAGCCAGACATGTTTTCCCCACAAATACAACATGCTAACGTTATTAGCATGAGCCTGTGACATTTTACATTGCGTATCTTAGCCAAGGTGCGGGTTTATTAATTTGCACATTGAAAATAAAATACAAAAAAATATGCAATAGAAGTAGTTTCAGTGCCTGAAAGAGCTACACATATAATAAATCACACACAAGACTTCAGTGCTGTTTTGTGGGGCCTTTATTGCCTTCCTATGACATATCTAATTGTAAAACAAATTTATAAATCTATGAAATAAAAACAAAATTAAAGCTTTGCTTCCACTGAAGGAAATGTTTTTCAGTTTACAAAAATAAACAGGAGGTCTGTGTCACTGCAACATGTAGTTACCTTAGCCTATGACGTAGATTCAACCAGGGGTGGGTAGAGTACTGAAAATCTGTACCCAAGTAAAAGTACAATTACTGACATTAAAATTACTCAAGTAGATGTAAAATTACTATTTGAGAAACCTACTCAAGTAAAAGTAAAAAGTACCTGGTTAATAATTTACTCAAGTACAAGTTACTTTCCGTTTGAATATTTTTTAGGGTGTGCGGACCAGTGCAAAATAATGAAAAAACAGCACTTGATAAAACTTTTTTTAATGAAGCAGGTACCAATCTTCCACTCTCTATCTCCTTCACTCTACCCCTCTTTTCCTCACCTAACCTCTTCTTTCTCCATTTCCCTATCTGTAATTTGAGTGGATGACCTTGCTTTAAAAACAGAAATGACATCCCAACTTCTTTGTCTTTTCTACATCTTTTTTTGCTGTTAACAAAATAAATAAATAAAAACCAATAAAATAAATAAGAAACCATTCAATATATGGTAAACAATAGCACTATAATGTTCCCAAGTTCCATCCACAAATGTGTTTGTAAAGGTATAACAGGTCCCTGTAGGACTTTCCTGCCAGATCACCAGGTGTCAGGTGAACTATTTTACAAATGACCATAACAGTAACAAAATGAAAATCCCATCTCTCCCTTGTTTTGTAAGAAATATGTCCTAAACTGGGATTATATGTGCATAAATCTCTAACATGCTAAATTAGTTGGCTCTTTTCAAACAAAAAGAAACTCTTCATTTCGACCTGGCTCCGGTCATTTTTTTCGTGTACACTGGTTTCACCGCTGGGTGGTGCTATTGCATTATACCAGTAAAGCCCCAGTTATCCGAACCGGCCATTTAACCAACAGTTACAGGCCACCACACTGAAATATCACCATTCCGACGGTCCGCCATCCCAAATTCTGGTCCCTGAGTCCTGACAGTGAGCTATGGCGAGCCTGTAGAAGCCGTATTCCCTATGTATGTCAGCGATTTTCACCGGGGACATACGCGAATAATTCAGGCTGACTTTACCTGTTTTTCAGCGAACTCTTCTGGTAATTTTATTAAAAGGGATGGCCCACAGTAGCTTATTATTATTATTATTATTATTATTATTGGGTCTTATGTGGGCTACAATGAGTACCGGGCCATCAAATCACAGCATCCGTGGTGAGAGGACACGGACTGTGTGTGCTTTTACGCATGCGGGTCAAGGCGATCATGGATATTTGATGTGAGAAAGATGTAGCCAGATGTATTACCTGTTTTAGATACGTGGCTGTCCGTCCGTAGCACGAGTCATGTGCGCCACATCACCACCAACCCGTGCGTAAAAGCACACCCCTCCTTGAGGCAATGAATGAGGAAATAATCGCCCCGGCGTTTAATCAGACCGGCGTTTAATACACTAAATGGGGTCAAACCCCCGGCGGCTATTTGGAAATATATGGTAGTTGTAACGAAGGTAAATGGCAAATGTAGTGAAGTAAAAAGTAGATTACTGGCTTAAAAATATACTTGAGTAAGAGTAGAAGTACAGTTTTAAAAAAGGAACTTAAAAAGTACTCGTTCCTCAAAAAAACTACTTTTTTACTCACGTGCGTTACTTGTAACGCGTTACTACCCACCCCTGGATTCAACACAGTATAAATCAGCCTTAAAGCAACACTAACCCTTCTGGAAATTTTACGCTTTTCTTTGTTTAGGTTAAAATGCTATTAATAAGCTGATGGCTCACTAAAATGTAAGTAAATTCCACCAGAGATAAAAACTCATAATTGTACCATTTGCATATGGTTCTAAGAAAATTCTAACCAATTGGCCAAGCGCCCTGTCTGTCTTCCCAACGTGGAGGCCTCCAACTGACGTAACGGCTTGTGTAAGTTTCAAAACTCTAGGGTTGCGTTTGACTGTGCAGGACAGGTAACGTTATGTTTAGTTTGCTTCTAATATACCATATAAAGTTACATACGACAACACAGCATCCAGTTGCTAATGGCTAACGTCAGCCTACTGTAGCGTAGCCTCTGAAACATTAACGTTATCTTCCTTGTGCGTTTCCACTTACTAGTAACGTTAACGCTACTATCTAACCTACTGTAGCGTAGCCTCTGAAACATTAACGTTATCTTCCTTGTGCGTTTCCACTTACTAGTAACGTTAACGCTACTATCTAACGTTAGCACTGAAACCTTATTCTAAAACTCATCGGTCATCACTGACTCCGGTTGAGTTTTAAAACTCCGGGGTTGCGTTTGACTGTCTTGGTTGTAACGTTACACCTGCTCTTACCTTGCCTACGCCTACGTCTATCATGGACGTAATGAGGATGTAATGGAGGAGGGGGAATAGGCCTTTGGAGGGAGGTGGAGTTGTGGATGTTCAAGTTTTTTCTAAGTGCTGTGTGAAATGCAAGAAAGGTAAGAGTTCCTTTAAATAAGAAAATGTAATTTGGATGAGTCAAACCTTTCGCAACTTTAACAGCTTGTTGGCAGTGTAGTTCAACTTGTTGTACAAAACTTTGGCAGTTCATTCCACAAGAATCATTACAGTATCAACTGAATCAAGAAGAGAAAAACTCACTTGCACTGGAAACTCACGAGTGGCAGATTTGTCATTATTCTACAGACTCATTGCAGCAAACTTTGATATACTATATCAACAATTCAACAGGCTTAGATGGCTAAGATGTTAGCAGAAACATTTTGCTTACACATACAGCACACAGAACAACATAAGCATCACATAAGTCTAAGACTTAGTCCACACATACACAGGAATTTTTTTTTTTTAATGGAGGCTTTTCTATGCATTTTGGTCTGAAAATGCCATTTTAGGTCACTAAAAATTGACGTTTTGTAAAATTCCTCTCAGGATGAAAATGTTCAGAAACTCTATTTTTCAGTGTTGACATGTCGACAGAAAAAACTGAGTCCGGCTTGAGACATCAAAGTGTGCTGTTATCTCCCGTGGGAGGCGTACCCAATGAGGCCCATGCAATTTTTATGCATGTTAATGTTATGTTAACACATGAATGTACAGTTATCCTTCCACTATATTGAGGAACAGAGGCGTCAGAGTGCACTATTGACGTTTGTGTATGTTAGCCTTCCACTATTAGCTTTTCTGTAGGCCTCTGATTGGCCAACATCGTCGTCTTCTTTGGTTAATTAGCCAACATGGCTTTAAGCTAATATCACCACCTGTTGGTTTGGAATGTTCTCGACAGTGCTTTTATGTATTGTTTTTGTGTGTGTTTTCATTTGGTCAATCTTTTTAAACGGTGCTTGTGTGGAAAGTTGTGTTATTTTTTTTTGAGAATAGAGGAGGAAAAGTCCCTGTGTTCTTATGGTCTAATACTGATTCTGAGTCTCTTGTTAGGCTCCAGCTCTTGAGAAAAATGTTTGTCTTTGGCTTATTGATGCTGCACTGTCGTCATCAGACACTTTTTTGTCTAGTCTCTACTTCGTGCTGGACAGGTAGTGTACAATCAGACACTGTGTAGAGTTGCACAGTTGGCTGTTGAGTCAGTGTTTCAGTCAGTGATTCAGTGTTGTTCCACTTCACAGTGCTTTGAGAGACATTGCATATGAACATTTAAGCAGTATAGTCTCTTTACCCAGCGTTCCTTCCTCCTCTGTATCCTCCTGCATCCTCAGTGCTGTTGTAACCTTTTAAACTTGTTCTGCTGACACCCACACCTGCAGACACGAGGAGCAGACGTGGAGCATGGAGCGAACAGAGAGTATGAACTCAGACTGCCAGTCAGGTGGGCTGTCCAGCTCTGTAGGAACCAGTAAGTGCAGCAGCCCGGCATGCATGGCGAGGAGGGCCGCCCACTGGGGCTGTGCGGACATGTCCGGACCGGGAATGCAGTACGGGGATTCATACGACTCTCTAAGAGACTCGCCTCACAGTGACAGGTAGGGAAAGTGGTGGTTTGTGTGTGTAAGTGTGTGTGTGTGTGGTGGGGTTTATGCCTGTCATGACTCTACAACACTTTTACATTCACTCTTTGGCGACCCCAAGTGGCAGTTAGTTGTTATAAATGTTTCAATGTCAAGGACTACATCAACCAGATACTGCATCTTGTAATGTGACTTTATAAACCAGTGTTGAAGTGGTGGTGAAGATAAGAAAATAATTCAACTACTTTGACTACACTTGATCTGTTTTCATAGTTTACTAGTTAATGGTTTCCTACATGTCCCAGAATGCCCTCTGACTAATAAACAGACTTGACATGACTATATTCAGCTGTTCATGTTAACTGTGTGCAATACAATAGCGCAGTTTCTTGATGTTGAACATGAATATTCTGTCTTTCTTTTTTCACATTAAATATGTAAGGAATGTAATATAAAACATATTAATATAGGAGGACCAATTTTATTATCTCTGCCAGACGTAAAACCGAAGGGAATCATTTGTTTAGTTGTATGTGTGCGTGTACAAGTCTTTGTTTGTGTTTGAGTGCATGTATCTGTCTGTTCGCAGGTAATCTCACATACTACTGGACCAGTCAGCCTAATATTTTGTGTGCATATGTATGACTGTGTGCTCAAAGTTCTTTCTTGGTTGCGGTGATTCACATTTGTTAAAAAACCTGTTTTATTGACTGTTTTATATCGTCATTAACTGCTGACTCCTCACGCCTCTTAACTGGCTGGTAGGGGGCGCAAGTGATCAACAAAATCACAGCAAAAGCGTAGAGCAAAGGGTATAAGGTATAATCATTTTGGCTAAAAACAAGAAGCATTAGAGGCATAACTGTCTGCTGCAGGCCACATGTTGGCCTTTATTGTTTCTCAAAAACTGACATTCATAGAAAAATTTGGTCCTAATTTGAACTGAAGTATCTGCACATTAATTCCACACCCAATATATTATGATCCAGTAAAGTTAGGCACAATATAGTCTGAGTGGGCGGAAGTTCGCTGCATAGATCAGCCTCTCATTGGGTGGAATGAGCCACCCGCTGAAGTCCCGCCCTACCACCTCCGGTTGTGTAGCAGTTTTCAACCGTTTTCAAAACATCCTTTACTAACTTTTGCGGTGTTTGATCTTGCGGGGATGTAGCTATTTTTCTGCCATGGTTCACGTCCTGTAGGCGATATTTTTGTGGGCATGTTACACCAAAACCTGTTTCCCCCCGGCAATATTTTTGCAAGCACACTGTTGCTGTTGCACCACCCAGAACGATTGTGATTGGGCGTTTTTTCCTCCAATCTCAAAGTGAGAGTTGGCCCAGCCAGACCTTTCTTTTCTTGAGAAAGGTCTGGTGAGCGAGACTAGGCACAATACGATTCTAAAAAACGAACAAAATGTTTTTGCCATCTTCGCCACTATCCTGACTGTGAAGGAAGCTGGGAGGGTCAGTTCTGGCACAGCTATGCCATGTGCATATAGTGTCCCAGGGATGAAGTTTTTCTGTGGGCCGACGTGGAAGTTAGCATCTCATTGGTTCCATTGGAGTTTGGATTATTGCCAAAAATAAACTCTGTGGCAAACAAACGTTCATTATACTTACACTTGCATTCACATATAAACACACTTTCGTGATTTTTGAAGCCTAAATGCAATCACCAGAGATATAAAGCTAATGTCAGGCTCTAAACAAATTATACCACGATCACATGACCTCACGTCCCCCCCATAACAATATGGTAAAGCTGTGTTTGGCACGGCTCGGCGTGATGATGTTCTGTAGTGTCATTTAGTCACTTGTAAGCAGCCGTCCATAGACGCTTCGAAGTGAGGTATTTTATTTACTCAGGTATTTCATGTTGTAGAACAAACATGAAAGTCTCTTCAGCTTGTGTTAACTACAGACCTTATTTCAGGCATCAAGCTAAAAACCCACTGATGAGGGAACCATGAGGGGCTAAAATGGTAACTTATTTCAAGGTTTTAGGACTCATTCCTGGGACACTTGTTTGTCTAGAGTGGCTGCATATGGGGTGCCGTTTGTAGTGGCTCACGCTGAAAATAACATCAACATTTTGCCACATTTAGCTTCAAACAATGTTTAAAAAAGTGTTGTGAATTTTTTAACGTCACCTTTTACCACATTTACAGCAATATTTGTTAACTTAGAAATATATTAAATAGTTAAATCTAAATATTAAATGTGGCACCTAAATGTTAAATATTAAATCTAAATGTTAAATCTAAATATTAAATCTAAATCTAAATCTAAATGTTAAATCTAAATGCTAAATCTAAATCTAAATATTAAATCTAAATGCTAAATCTAAATCTAAATGTTAAATCTAAATGCTAAATCTAAATGTTAAATGTTAAATCTAAATGTTCTGGGTGAAACTAAATTTTTAGTTAATATGCAAATTCACTCTGCCTGTCACCGGAAGTACCAAAATAAAAGCTTGAGATGGTCAGACTGTGTTTATAGAATCAAATAACGAATTAAAACCAACTTATCGGGGGAAATGAACACTTGAACATACATTAGCATGATAACTACCTAAAATAACAAAAAACATATTTGGAGAAATTTTATTTGACGTGTACTTTTTTGATTGAGCAAGCAAAGCAGTTTTGTGTTGCTATGTGTGGTATTTATTCAGTTTTGGGAAATCACAATGTCTAGAAAGCATCAGTGGCCGCAGCTGACAGGGTCAGCTAACAGCAGCAGCAAAGCTAACATCAGGACGTCATCAAAAGCCTCCCGTTGTCGGATACGACATGAAACTACTCCAGTTAGCTCAGTCATGTTGTAACTAAGACATCCGCTGGAAAAAAAATTTTTTTTCAGGGACCGTTTAATTTAGATTTAACATTTAACATTTAGATTTAGATTTAATATTTAGATTTAACATTTAGGTGCCATGTTTAATATTTAGATTTAACTATTTAATATATTTTTAAGTTAACAAATATTGCTGTAAATGTGGTAAAAGGTGACATTAAAAAATTCACAACACTTTTTTAAACATTGTTTGAAGCAAAATGTGGCAAAATGTTGATGTTATTTTCAGCGTGAGCCACTTTACAAACGGCACCCCATAGCTGCGATCATCTCCAGCAGCTGTTTTGCAGCTGGAACGCAGCTTCCTAACCTTTCTAGCTGTTTGTACAACATAAACCTGTGGTGATCTGTTTTGTGTCTTTCTAGTGTATGTTTATAATTTCAAAATGAATAGAGTTCCAATAGATTTTAGTTAAATAACAATCTAATTCATGATAAACGTAAATTATTTTGGTGATGAATTTTCTCTGTGTTTCAGAATTTTGAATCTCTGCTCTGCATTAGCGTCTAAACTCAGTGAGGTGCAGCAGTCATACACTCTCACCAAAGGCAGTTGTTCAGTCATGTTTTCCATATTCTCGGGACAGACTGAGTGGGTGGTGAGGTGGCACAGCAGTTAACACTGTCGTTGTATGGTGAGAAGGACCTGTGAGCCTGAGCCAGCTGGCTGCAGTGTCTCTGTGTGGAGTTTCTGTATTTCCTCCCACAGTCCGAAGACTTTCAGGTCAGGTGGTCTGGAGACACTAAATTGCCTGCAGGTGTGAACGTTGTTGTTTGTCCGTGTGTGTGTCAGCCCTGTGATTGACTGGCGACCTGTCCAGGGTGTACCCCTCCTCTTGCCCAGTAAGGTAGGATTGTGATATCCCAATAATCTGCTGTCGTCTTTTCTGTCCAGGTACGTGTCGGCGCTGACCACGCCAGCACGGCTGTCCCCGGTGGAGTTCCACTACCCCCCGTTGCCACCCCAGGTGCCCACCTTCCAGATCACCTCGCCCAACACAAGCCACGCCCTCTCCCTGCCCCCCGCTGCTGCCGCCTACCACAGAGACGACGACCAGCCACTGCTACGATGCCCAGATGTACGTGAGCAAAGATAGTACACACAAACCAGTGACAGGAGCAGCACAGTGATGGTGACATCGTGCCATCAGTTAACAGATAGGGCTGGTAATATTTCATATATTTTATCGTCAGCAAATCCAATGGACAGACTGAAAACAAGAAATGCAACAGTCCATCTCTTTTTGTTTTGTGACTACTACTAGGGTCCATTTATTACTACTGAAGACATACATCTTTAAAAAAAGTCGCAAATATTATATATTAATTTAGTTGTTTAAGATGACATAATATCCCAAAACAGCTGGACACTGTTTGTACTTAATGTTACTCAAACAGGAGTAAGTAGCGCCTTTGTTGGGGACTATTTTTAGCCGTGGAATAATACACATTTGGTGCTCTAATGTGTACCTACCATAGACTGTAAAAATTATGGATGTAGCTACTGTGACGTCACCCACTGGCTTTGAAGCCTCAAGTTTGGCATTTCAGCTGTCGCCATTTTTTTTTTTTTTTGGAACCAGAAGTGACCATATTTGGGAGAGAGGCTTGTGCTGTGGAGGAGCGAGGGGTGAATCTGCCTGTCACTCAAAGCGGCCCGCCCTTAATTATGCATAACCTTAATGTGATGTAAACAGGCAGGTTATATAAAAATTCACCCCTGTACAGTTCTCATAATCAGGAAAATCCGCTAAAGAGGCCAAAATTGTCTTTTGTATCAGACTGTAAACATGTTCATTTTAACATGGGGGTCCATGGGGATTGACTGGATTTTGGAGTCAGTCTCAAGTGGCTCATGTACTCAAGTACTGCTCAAGCACTTACAGCAGCAGGATGGTGTGTGTGGGATCAACTCAAAATAAACTACAGTGTGTGTGTTCATGGTAATGAAGGAACATGTCACCCAGTGCACCAGTGTGACTCACTGATATGTCTTTAATATTTTTTGAATAACACTGGAGCTCTGTGGCACAGACGAATAAGCTACTGAATATTGGGCTTTAGACATGGCAGGTATACTTGTTAGTAGAGCTGCAATAGTTAGTCAAATAAACGAACAGAAGTCAATCGAAGTCAATCAACAGAAAATTAATTGGCAACTATTTTGATCACTAAATAACTGTTTTATTTATTATCATTTTATTTTATTCCCAGAGAAACATAAAGGCATTTAGCAGACAACAGATTCCCCTTATTTTGCAGCAAAATCACATCAACATCAACAGTTACAATGAACAATAAAATGGCTAGATGAGAAAATGAAGTAGTACTCCTACCTATTTGAAGTTCATTCTGTGTTTCCCTGTTGCATCAAACTCATGCAGAACGGCCGCTGCATCAATTCCAATATCATGATGATCCCAAGGCTCATCGCTTTGGAAAGCGGGTTTACCCTGGACATCTAGCTCGCTGCTAGCCTCTGTTGTTGTAGCGTAAATGCTAGCAGCAGTAACGTTAGCAGACTCAGTGATCGTACTGCTGCTTCCTTCATATTGTTCACTGCTGAGGCTTGTTCGCTTTCTAATTTCAAAAGCCTGAAAAATGCACAGATATTTTTCGTTTGCTAATTTCTAACTACTTTTGCTTGCTAACACACAAGATAAGTAACACAATATCGCTAGCATCACAATTGAGCATGATTGAAGTGTTTATCATACACTGACCCCTGGCCTGTGACATGTGCACCAATCATCGGCATCCAAATGTATCTGCGTCACAGTGAGTGGACACAGTTAAAAAAAAAGATACAGTTTTTGAATAATGTCCAATGTTTTACTACACAGTCCACGTTTTGCACGCCCCTGGTCCTGGTCTTTCTCAGGCCATGCCATATACTTGTCCAAGTGAAGCCAGACATTATTGAATCAGCATTTACCTTGTATTTTACAAACTTACATCTCGTCAAGGAACAAGGTGCATCTCAGGTGGCAGTCTGAAGTTATCCTCGGAGAGAGCAACATAACATCAAGTGCAGTGATATGACCAATCTGCCCGAATATTAAAGTGTTGTTTACCCAATAGATTTAGATCTCTCAGTCGATCTTTACAGAGCCACATTTCTCTAATATACAGGTATTTGTGAACACATATTCATTATTTTTTAATTTTACAAACTTTTCCAGGCATCATGACGGTATGAACCTTGAATCAAGAAAACAATGATTATTCAACAATGAAAATGATCGTTAGGTGCAGCCCTACTTGTCAGTAGGTTGAGCTAATTGTTGCTTTTTTCTTGAGATTTGTTCACAGTGATAAAATATAGCGTATAACCAGACTTTAACCTGATGGTTCAAGTTCCTTTGAGCAAACCACTGACAAACAAACATATTTCACAAACAGTTTCTCTCAAATTCTTACCTCTGTTTTGCTTTTTAGGACGGAAGTTTATACAGACAGCCCCGGCGTCCGCGGCGACCCTACCTGACGGAGAGCACAGGAAGTCTACCGTCCAGCCCCTACCGTCTCCCAGATGACGAGGCCTACGAGACCACGCAAGAGTACGCCTCTTCACGGGAACCCATCCGGAGCCGGCGCCGCCCGAGACGCAATCGCCTCAATGGACACATCTCCCAGCGTTCGACAGGCCTACGGGACTACAGCTCACAGAGCTTCAGCCAGTCAGAGGAGGAGGAGGAAGAGGAGGAGGAAGAGGATGCTCACGGGGAGAGCACGCCTTTCCTTAGTATGCAGAACATGAACATGGACCCACCTTTAACCGTTCCGGGTTACCGCTCGTCATCCGGTGCGGACACACGGACTCACCGCGGGCTGAGTCGGCCGGGGACACGCAGCAACGGGCAGAGCCGCGGCTCCCAGTCGCAGCGCTCCAAGGCTGACAACATGCCCCTTTAAGACTTAACCCCCTCCCCCCCGCCACCACCCACCCCTCCACCTCACACACTCCCCTTCCTCCTACACACAACCAGTGGACTAGAGACCTGCACCTAGGAGAAATATTTTTATTTTGTATAACAGACAGATATTCTAAACAAATGAAATATTTATTTTCATTTCAGCAAAAATTGTCTACTAGCTAACAGCAAAGACTTTTTTTATAACGGGGGGGAAANATTTTTTTTCAGGGACCGTTTAATTTAGATTTAACATTTAACATTTAGATTTAGATTTAATATTTAGATTTAACATTTAGAGTTAGCATTTAGATTTAACATTTAGATTTAGATTTAATATTTAGATTTAACATTTAGGTGCCATGTTTAATATTTAGATTTAACTATTTAATATATTTTTAAGTTAACAAATATTGCTGTAAATGTGGTAAAAGGTGACATTAAAAAATTCACAACACTTTTTTAAACATTGTTTGAAGCAAAATGTGGCAAAATGTTGATGTTATTTTCAGCGTGAGCCACTTTACAAACGGCACCCCATAGCTGCGATCATCTCCAGCAGCTGTTTTGCAGCTGGAACGCAGCTTCCTAACCTTTCTAGCTGTTTGTACAACATAAACCTGTGGTGATCTGTTTTGTGTCTTTCTAGTGTATGTTTATAATTTCAAAATGAATAGAGTTCCAATAGATTTTAGTTAAATAACAATCTAATTCATGATAAACGTAAATTATTTTGGTGATGAATTTTCTCTGTGTTTCAGAATTTTGAATCTCTGCTCTGCATTAGCGTCTAAACTCAGTGAGGTGCAGCAGTCATACACTCTCACCAAAGGCAGTTGTTCAGTCATGTTTTCCATATTCTCGGGACAGACTGAGTGGGTGGTGAGGTGGCACAGCAGTTAACACTGTCGTTGTATGGTGAGAAGGACCTGTGAGCCTGAGCCAGCTGGCTGCAGTGTCTCTGTGTGGAGTTTCTGTATTTCCTCCCACAGTCCGAAGACTTTCAGGTCAGGTGGTCTGGAGACACTAAATTGCCTGCAGGTGTGAACGTTGTTGTTTGTCCGTGTGTGTGTCAGCCCTGTGATTGACTGGCGACCTGTCCAGGGTGTACCCCTCCTCTTGCCCAGTAAGGTAGGATTGTGATATCCCAATAATCTGCTGTCGTCTTTTCTGTCCAGGTACGTGTCGGCGCTGACCACGCCAGCACGGCTGTCCCCGGTGGAGTTCCACTACCCCCCGTTGCCACCCCAGGTGCCCACCTTCCAGATCACCTCGCCCAACACAAGCCACGCCCTCTCCCTGCCCCCCGCTGCTGCCGCCTACCACAGAGACGACGACCAGCCACTGCTACGATGCCCAGATGTACGTGAGCAAAGATAGTACACACAAACCAGTGACAGGAGCAGCACAGTGATGGTGACATCGTGCCATCAGTTAACAGATAGGGCTGGTAATATTTCATATATTTTATCGTCAGCAAATCCAATGGACAGACTGAAAACAAGAAATGCAACAGTCCATCTCTTTTTGTTTTGTGACTACTACTAGGGTCCATTTATTACTACTGAAGACATACATCTTTAAAAAAAGTCGCAAATATTATATATTAATTTAGTTGTTTAAGATGACATAATATCCCAAAACAGCTGGACACTGTTTGTACTTAATGTTACTCAAACAGGAGTAAGTAGCGCCTTTGTTGGGGACTATTTTTAGCCGTGGAATAATACACATTTGGTGCTCTAATGTGTACCTACCATAGACTGTAAAAATTATGGATGTAGCTACTGTGACGTCACCCACTGGCTTTGAAGCCTCAAGTTTGGCATTTCAGCTGTCGCCATTTTTTTTTTTTTTTGGAACCAGAAGTGACCATATTTGGGAGAGAGGCTTGTGCTGTGGAGGAGCGAGGGGTGAATCTGCCTGTCACTCAAAGCGGCCCGCCCTTAATTATGCATAACCTTAATGTGATGTAAACAGGCAGGTTATATAAAAATTCACCCCTGTACAGTTCTCATAATCAGGAAAATCCGCTAAAGAGGCCAAAATTGTCTTTTGTATCAGACTGTAAACATGTTCATTTTAACATGGGGGTCCATGGGGATTGACTGGATTTTGGAGTCAGTCTCAAGTGGCTCATGTACTCAAGTACTGCTCAAGCACTTACAGCAGCAGGATGGTGTGTGTGGGATCAACTCAAAATAAACTACAGTGTGTGTGTTCATGGTAATGAAGGAACATGTCACCCAGTGCACCAGTGTGACTCACTGATATGTCTTTAATATTTTTTGAATAACACTGGAGCTCTGTGGCACAGACGAATAAGCTACTGAATATTGGGCTTTAGACATGGCAGGTATACTTGTTAGTAGAGCTGCAATAGTTAGTCAAATAAACGAACAGAAGTCAATCGAAGTCAATCAACAGAAAATTAATTGGCAACTATTTTGATCACTAAATAACTGTTTTATTTATTATCATTTTATTTTATTCCCAGAGAAACATAAAGGCATTTAGCAGACAACAGATTCCCCTTATTTTGCAGCAAAATCACATCAACATCAACAGTTACAATGAACAATAAAATGGCTAGATGAGAAAATGAAGTAGTACTCCTACCTATTTGAAGTTCATTCTGTGTTTCCCTGTTGCATCAAACTCATGCAGAACGGCCGCTGCATCAATTCCAATATCATGATGATCCCAAGGCTCATCGCTTTGGAAAGCGGGTTTACCCTGGACATCTAGCTCGCTGCTAGCCTCTGTTGTTGTAGCGTAAATGCTAGCAGCAGTAACGTTAGCAGACTCAGTGATCGTACTGCTGCTTCCTTCATATTGTTCACTGCTGAGGCTTGTTCGCTTTCTAATTTCAAAAGCCTGAAAAATGCACAGATATTTTTCGTTTGCTAATTTCTAACTACTTTTGCTTGCTAACACACAAGATAAGTAACACAATATCGCTAGCATCACAATTGAGCATGATTGAAGTGTTTATCATACACTGACCCCTGGCCTGTGACATGTGCACCAATCATCGGCATCCAAATGTATCTGCGTCACAGTGAGTGGACACAGTTAAAAAAAAAGATACAGTTTTTGAATAATGTCCAATGTTTTACTACACAGTCCACGTTTTGCACGCCCCTGGTCCTGGTCTTTCTCAGGCCATGCCATATACTTGTCCAAGTGAAGCCAGACATTATTGAATCAGCATTTACCTTGTATTTTACAAACTTACATCTCGTCAAGGAACAAGGTGCATCTCAGGTGGCAGTCTGAAGTTATCCTCGGAGAGAGCAACATAACATCAAGTGCAGTGATATGACCAATCTGCCCGAATATTAAAGTGTTGTTTACCCAATAGATTTAGATCTCTCAGTCGATCTTTACAGAGCCACATTTCTCTAATATACAGGTATTTGTGAACACATATTCATTATTTTTTAATTTTACAAACTTTTCCAGGCATCATGACGGTATGAACCTTGAATCAAGAAAACAATGATTATTCAACAATGAAAATGATCGTTAGGTGCAGCCCTACTTGTCAGTAGGTTGAGCTAATTGTTGCTTTTTTCTTGAGATTTGTTCACAGTGATAAAATATAGCGTATAACCAGACTTTAACCTGATGGTTCAAGTTCCTTTGAGCAAACCACTGACAAACAAACATATTTCACAAACAGTTTCTCTCAAATTCTTACCTCTGTTTTGCTTTTTAGGACGGAAGTTTATACAGACAGCCCCGGCGTCCGCGGCGACCCTACCTGACGGAGAGCACAGGAAGTCTACCGTCCAGCCCCTACCGTCTCCCAGATGACGAGGCCTACGAGACCACGCAAGAGTACGCCTCTTCACGGGAACCCATCCGGAGCCGGCGCCGCCCGAGACGCAATCGCCTCAATGGACACATCTCCCAGCGTTCGACAGGCCTACGGGACTACAGCTCACAGAGCTTCAGCCAGTCAGAGGAGGAGGAGGAAGAGGAGGAGGAAGAGGATGCTCACGGGGAGAGCACGCCTTTCCTTAGTATGCAGAACATGAACATGGACCCACCTTTAACCGTTCCGGGTTACCGCTCGTCATCCGGTGCGGACACACGGACTCACCGCGGGCTGAGTCGGCCGGGGACACGCAGCAACGGGCAGAGCCGCGGCTCCCAGTCGCAGCGCTCCAAGGCTGACAACATGCCCCTTTAAGACTTAACCCCCTCCCCCCCGCCACCACCCACCCCTCCACCTCACACACTCCCCTTCCTCCTACACACAACCAGTGGACTAGAGACCTGCACCTAGGAGAAATATTTTTATTTTGTATAACAGACAGATATTCTAAACAAATGAAATATTTATTTTCATTTCAGCAAAAATTGTCTACTAGCTAACAGCAAAGACTTTTTTTATAACGGGGGGGAAATATTTATATGTAAAGTTTTTTGATTTACAGCATTATGAGAGATGAAAAAATAAGAGAATTACGTGCCAATTTTTTCACAAGTTAGATAAATAGAATAATATTGTGGTGCCTTTTGCTGTATGCTGAAGTCGGAGGTCCCATTGAGTTTTTGTAGCCTTTCTTATAAAGACTCCTCGTTTTTATAGAGACCAACCCTCTTCCTTCCTTTTGCTTTGGTTTTCTCTCTGATTTGGGATCTTCCTCTTTTTGAACTGTGATCTGATTATGTCATCATGCAATATTGATTCCTCCTGTGTAAAAGGTGTCTGTTTACATGAGTATGATCCACGCGATGCGCTCGTTTCACAGGGACATTAGTCACTGACGCAACCGGAAGTGTAGGGTAGTTTTTCTTGGATGATTTTTTTTTTTTTGGATGAATCACATTGGTCATTTATGTCCTCGTTCGCTGCCTGTCAGTCATTTGTTGTTATTTCTGTGAAAACAAGAGTGTTAGGGAATTGTTGAGGGGAAGTAATTCCAGATTCCTGTGTCGGTGTTCAGGGTGCTGCCATGACATTGGTGGTGGTTGCAGTGTGTGTGTGTGTGTTTGTGTGTGTGTGTGTGTGTACGTGTGTGTGTATGTACACCTCATGAAGCCTCATTTGGTCGGCGCCTCCGTTCACCTCAGAAAGTGTGGTCCCTTGTTTGACTGACATGCTCCTCTCACCAATCCTCACGCTGCCAGAAGCTCCATTGCACTGTAAGAACCTCCCTCCGTGAGCAGTCATTGGCCAGGGAGCTGCCGATCCAAACCGAACCTAACCAATCCAGTTGTAATCCAGCCTGACTCTGGCCTCCCGTGGACTGCCCAGCCCGCCCGTTTCCTATGCCAGCAGCTTAGAGCCGCACTGTGTCTCAGGACTTCCCCATCACATCACAGCCAAAAGACTCAAAGCAGAGAGCGCACGTCATCTCAGTCACAGTTCAGTCCGCAGGCCAGATCCACGTCCCCTCACTGTCCTTCCTGTCTGTCCATCAGGTCTGTTGCGTTCACTCGTGGCCATGATTAAAGGGAGCGTGGGTGAAAAAACTCTTGGAATCAGAAGGGAGATTAAGTTGCTTTTTTATTTTACTTCAAAGGTTGTGTGTGTGTGTTTGTGTACGCAGGCATATGTGTGGGTCACGATGACAATGAAAAAAATTATGCGGAGACCACATCTGTTCACTATGTTGCAGGGGCGTAGCTAGGAATTCTGGGCCCCCCTGAGAGGAGGATATTGCTCTGGGTTCTCCCCTTTTCTTTCTCTTTTTTTTAACTTATATAAACCTACTGGAAACTTTACGGGCCCTCTCCAGCTGTGGGCCCCTGGAATCGCCACCACCTTTCACCCCTGTAGCGATGGCACTGCTCTCATGGGGGACAAAAAATAGTTAGCGGGTCGCTGCGTGCAGGTTCACACTGCTAGAGAGCGAGTTTCTGAGTGTGATTCTACTTTTTTTTCTTTAGCTCACAGCCAAACGGTGGTATATGATAATACTGATTACTGCATCCTTGATTTGCATTCCTATACCTTTTATTGATTGAACTTCTTTTGCTTGGTCATATTGACTGAATGATCTATTATCTGTCTGTCTCTGTCTGCCCCCCCCCCTTCCACCTCACATCACCCCTCACCTCCATGTCTTTCTTACCCCCTTACCGACCTTCAGAAGCAACTAGCGGATGAATTTAGGGCCCATCTCCAGACGAGTACACTGAACAGCACACTGACAGTAGGCTGATCACGTCAGAAACTCTTCACCTTCAGATATACATCGGGTTTAGAGACCCCTTTCAAGCTCACCGAGGTAAATGATACTGTGTCAGATACAATATGTGTCCCTATTAGAGTTGATTTCCAATACGTAGAGTTCTTTTCCTTCTTTTTCACACAGGAGATGCATGGATCACAGATATAGAAAGTATCTTAAAAATGGCGACAAACCCCCTCAGATTCAGGGGAATCATGCTAGAAATTTATAAAAACATTATTTGGGTTCACGGCCCAAAGGTCTGGCTAGTTTTGTCTTAATATCACTGTAATCAATCTGGGATTTGCAATGTGGAAATACTGCAAGTGAGGGTAGTGTGCTTCTAGAGCTAGTTGAATTGTTAACACCCCCCTCCGCCCTCTTTCTCCTCACCCTGCACTCCCCCCTTTGCCCTTCACACACACACATACATTTCACATTCCTCACACAAACTGACACACACACACACACACCCACAGACACACACACACACACACACACACACACACACACACACACACACACATATGCACACACACAAACACAGAGCCCTACCATGTTTGTGTTTGTCAAGCAGTTTGCCTTCGTCTTTTTTACTCCCTCTTTCCTCCCCTCTCTTCCCCCTTCCTCCCTTTCCCTACCTCCCCTCTCCTCCCCTCTCCTCCCCTCTCACCCCGACCCCTCTGCATGTCCTAGTGGTACTGGTAGTTGGGTGCATGGAAAAAGCAGCAAGCAAATCGTTTTTCCACTCGGTGAAAAAATAAAAAAAACGTGTCTTCATTTTAACATTCAGCAATAAATCCCCTTCTCTTCATGTCCATCATTCTTGGAATATGCTAGAAGATTTTTTGCAAGTTTTATCAAAAACATACTACTTGTAAAAGAAGAAAAATCCAAAACCACCCCTTCATATGGAAAATAAAACTTTATTCCTACCATTTTGAAACAGTCCTGTCGTCTTTGTAACAAAGAGCAACTGTTCTTTCTTTTTATTTAGTTTTATTCAGAAGAGGCGATGATAAAATCAAGAAGCCAGTGCACCAAATGTACAGTATGAGAGGAGTTGCAAAGATATGAGCAGTAGATGGCGGGATTTACCTTGGCTATAATTTGATGGTGCCTTCTGTATGTTAGTACACGGGTTCCTCAACCTGGGGGTCCTGATACCCACTAGGGGTTGCCAAAGCTTCACAGGGAGTCCAGAGACGTCTTGATTTTAAGGGGTGTGAGAAAACTATTTTTTTCATTTAACTTTGCAGTGGGCCTGTATTTCAGCATTTTAATCATTTCTGTGAGGAAACTTAATGACATTTTTATTTTTAAAGTTTGGATTATTATTAAACTCTCTTGCTGCTAAACAGCCTCGTCCTGCATCTGAAACAACCAAAGAGCTACATAGAACATTGGCTATGTGTCGAAGAGAAGAAAACACTGAATTTGTCACAAAAAAAGATAAGCCTTTTAAGAAGGTATGATTGTTAGAGATTAAAAAAAAACAACAACAATACAGTGAGGTGAGTCCTATAAAAAGTTCCTACAAATATCAGGAAACTCATCTCTGATGTTCACAGGAAATAATCTGCTCAAAATTCATCATAATCACTCATTTTACACAAACTTCCTGCAGCTGTTGTGTTCACTTTTTTTTGCTAATTATCCATTAAATATGTCCCTTAGTCATGGGTCGTCAGTTTACTCAATGACAGAAAAGGGGTCCATTAAGAAAAAAGGCTGGGAACCACTGTGTTAGTCTAAAAAACCCCCAGTAATTTTATACGTAGATTATTTGCAATATTCCATACTACTTTAGAGAAAGCTTTTATTTGGGTTGCATTTTACAAATTTTATATATGTATATATATATATATATATATATATATATGAAACACACTGGGGAAACCAGGTGTGATTAATAAAATACTTCATTATGACTGTATTCCATTTTGTTTTGCCTCCTCTGGTCTGTGGGCTTTTGAAATGATTCAAAACTGATCCTGACTTGGCCCTCTTCCTCCTAAACAGGTATTACAGAGCAGCCAGATCTGTTAGTTGTTGGCTTACATGTAACTGGAATGTATGAACAGCACTAAAACAAACTTTGCTGCAAACAGCTTTGTTAAAAAAATAAAGTAGTAAAAACAAATGCAGGTGAGCCAGATCAACAGGAGGCTTTAGTGCTCATGGAAGCACTACCACTTCCATCCACAGGGGCCGCCACACTCAACACAAGATAAAAGTTCTTTGTAGTTGCCCTACATTGACAGTTTAAAGATTTAAGAGACAACATTTCAATCCAGTGGATTGTGTGTTTTTTTTCTTTAAAAATATGTAACAGTGTGTGACATATTATATTTATAAAGCTACACTCACGCACCAGCTGATGACAAATTTGATGAGCACAGAGAGGACTGACCCGTCTTCTTCACAGCTCTGCATCACCAACTTGTCCATCCAATCCTTCAAACCATAGCAGTGTTTGACATATTATACTACAGTCTCAATTCATGACATTTCTAAATGTAATTCTGGTCATTTATGCATTTATCAGACAGTGAAACTTTGACTGCAAATGACAGGGATGAAATGCAGCAAAGGTCTCTGGACTGACTCAAACCCCTCGGCCACCAGGACATCCCCACAGTATTAGACTTATCATTACAGCATCCCCATCAGACAATTCAGGATCATTAAGATCATTAAGGCATTAAGATGAAAAAACAATGGAACACAGTGTAGACATGCATCATCAACACATTTTGTCAACAATAGAGCAGTGGTGTAAAAAATATATGTTTTGTTGTCTTTCTGAAGAAACTAGAGTTGGAAATGTCCCCAGCAAGACATATTTGGTTACTTGAATCCATTGTCACATGATTCAACAGACTAAATTACTTCAGCAAACGAATCACTGAGCTAACATCATCAACTTAAACTTGTCTGGGTTTGAATTTCTTAATAAGTTTGAACACAGATACAAACTTTCCATCTTATTTACTTATCTGATTAATTCTTCTGAGGGAGATTAAGAAAAGTGGGGCTGTAAGATGGAGTGGATTAATACACACTGACCACTGACACTAAAACACACATTATTACAGTGCCTGGATCCAAATATATGCGTGTGTGTGTGTGTGTGTGTGTGTGTGTGTGTGTGTGTGTGAGAGAGAGAGAGAGAGAGAGAGAGATTTCACATGTATCAATTGATCCAGCTGGTAGAGAAAAAGAAATAATGAATAAAAATGGAAGATGTTTGTGTCACACTCACCTGAGTACTAGCCACATTTGAGCATTTCAAGAGTTTGTCAATTAGTTCAGAATGTAGCGAGTTCATTGGAAATAATGGTGTGAAACAAAGATCTGAACTCAAGATCTACACTAGGAGACCCACACTATGTCAACCAGTTGGAAGTTCTGAATTTTGCTGCCTATGTTGCCTATAGGAAGATCCACCACTGGTTCTTCTACAGTAGCTCAGAACGGACAAACCAAAAACTGTCTCTAGATAGGACCATTAGTATCATTTTCACGTCAGCCACTGTAGTTCTCCTACACACACGACACATGGGAAAGGTTTCTGCAATCTCACCCCTAGATGCCACTAAATCCTGCACATTGGACCTTTAACCTTATTTTGTTTTCGCATTCTGGGCATGTACGGCCTTAACATTAAGCCTTTACTATATAGAAATAAGTATTTGTCCAAAGCTAAACATTCTCAGTTAAAGCAACAAACAGGATAGTGATTTTAACAAAATGTTGATTAAATTGTCAATTTTTTTCTTTCCACATGACCAGCAGGACAGCTTTTATTGCTGACTGATGCTACAGGCTGAACTGAAACTGCCGCCACAAGTACCAGAGGTGTTGCAACATTAAGGTTTCATAATGCCAGGCACACTCCAGGCATTCCAGAGATACGACCCCCCTCCTCACACTTCAGGTCAGGTCAGGTCATACTTCCTGTTTGACCTGATGAGTGCATGGCCGTGATAAGGCAGAGAAATGATGTGTTTGTATAAAAGATTCCTCTGTCAGAGCTGTTAATCAGCCGCCAGACCTGTTCTGTGCCGATTTCACACAGCTGCTGTATTCAAGGAGGCAGAATGATTTGACATTTAAAAGTAACACCTGTCCTGAATGTTGACTACAACCTCAATAATTTACAGAAGATTTGAGACTTTTGTACCAAATCTGACTGATGAAGATCAAACTGGAACATTAGAAGAACCCTCCATATTGCAGGTAATGCTCAAAAAAGGAGTACAAATATGGTTCTGGTTGGTTTGAACGCAGAGATAGTGTCAGTTGGGTATTTTCATATAAAGTGTTAAAGAGATTTGGTTTCAATAAAAATGCAATCCCATGTATTAAAACTATTTATTATGAGCCTACAGCGAGGATTCAAATGGAGAGACGTTCAAGACAACGATGCTGTCTTTCCCTTTCTCCCTTTGCTTTAAATGTGGAACCCTTAGTGCAAGCACTCTGCCTTAGTGCAAGCACTAAGGCAGAGTGAAGAGCTGGAGGGTGTCACTATAGGGGGGAAGGAACATATCACTGGACTTTTCGCAGATGATGTCATTACCTTTCTGGAACAACCTGACATACAATATGTTTCCCAAACCTAATGAATCTACTTGAAATATATGGACAATACTCAGGGTATATAACATTTTATTATTCATCTATCCCAACAAATCAGAGATGCATTCAAGCTGAAATGGAACTCTACAACAATGAGGTATCTTGATGTAACAATAGGCCTGTTACAGAGCTGCAATTAAGTCCCGCCTATTTACACAGAGCCAACAGACAGCAGCATCATTTTGCTCCAGTGCGTGATTTTAGACAGCATGCCACCAATACAGAAGCACAAGAGGTGTGAAGGGCGTGATATGTAACTTAACAACTATGGTCTCTAGTGTGACATATAACATACGCATCGGCAGTGCTTTACAGTGGCATAACATGGCAATAACAATCATTTACCACTCCTGTTGTAAGACAGCTGATCTTGTCCTCTGCTCGGAGGGTAGGGAGTTCCCATACCTGATTGTTTTCCAAATTTGTGGACATTCTGGGCTGCTGTTCTTCTTTGTTGAGTTAGCTGCTAACTGCTACTTTTTAAATTTCCAGTGGTTGGTCACACACATAACATGCTGTCAAAATGTCACACCCGAGCCATCCATGATCCTGTCCTGCCGGCTGTCCCATTTTATATATATATAAACATCGTTTCAGCGCTGTTCCTACCCCTGATGCCAGCTTAAAGATGAGACACTTCTGTCCCACCATTCCGTCATTGTACCTTTTATAGAGAACTGTGGGGCGGCATAATGGTGTGAAATTCCCGCCTTGAAGAAGCAGTGTAAAGGGGCTACTGACTCACTTTCTAACATTTATAACCAAATCAAGGAGATCATCCGAAAGGACATAGAATGGTGGTCTACTCTTCCTTTAGAGTTCAGTGCCAGAATACAAATGGTTAAAATAATTATATTACCAAAGCTTCTATATTTATTCCAGTCTCTCCCAGTCAGTGTTCAGAAGCCAAATTCCTAGGGATAAGATGTTCATTTGGAACAGCAAAATTCCAAGAATAAAACTTATGACACTTCAACTACCTCAAAGTAAGGTGGGAATGGATTCACCATATCTTCAGGAATCTTTTTCTGCAGCTCATCTCAGACCCCTGGCCTGTTAATGTAGACCGGACTGAGTCTAGAGATGGAAAGGGAGATACAGGGCTACCAGACCCAGATCCTGGTGGGATGTAATATTACATGGGGACACTGAGACATGCTATGGATCCAATAATAGCATACACTAGAAATATGAAACGTAATAGTAGAAAAAAACAAATTAAAAAGAGGAATATACACTAAGGTGTTTGCATATGATACCAAATTTTAGCCTTGTATGATTCAGTATTTAAAGAATGGGCACAAAAAGGCCTGGCGGTGGTGTGTACAGTTTCAGAAATGGCATATTTATCAGCTTCCGAGAGCTAAACGATAAAATATGGTCTTGAAAACTTTTTTTTTTTTTTCAGTAGAAGTTAAGAGACTACTTAACAAAAGAGATCAGATCTGAACCAGATGAAACTTTAAATAATGTGATGAGGTGATTGTGGGTGCACACAAACAGAAGGGTTCTTGGGTCATCTCTGCTTTCTACCAAGCTTATGGGGGAAGCTGCGGGGATTCAGTGCTATAGACAAAATGGGAAGCAGAGTTAAAGATTTAAATAACAGAGGGAGAATGGTATATAATGTGTGAGACACAATTTACATCCTCAAATTCACTAGTGTGGAGGGAATTCTGCTGGAATAATCTAATACCCAAATAAAAAGCACTGTACAAAGATCATGTCATACTGTGAAAATATTAATACATCTGTTAGAAATATTTTGGGAAATAAAACCCCAAATACCTGCCTTGTAATGTGTCTCGGGAACATTAAAGGTGTGGTGATTAAAAAAGATATCTTCTTGATTAGTTTTACTTGCAGAAAATAAGAAAGTTATTACCAGGCATTGGCTTAATGCAAAATGGCCCAAAACAGAAACACTGCCTAGAAACTGTCCAATGCATTTTAGTTATGGACAAGTTGACATACATTTTGAGATTTAAAGAGAGGACATTTTAAAGAAGTGTAAAAAAAAAAACCTGAACATTTACACATGAACTAGTAGACACTTGCATAAATACTGAAACAGTTCCAGACAACTAGTTATTCTTACTTTATATTATCATTTGGTTCGTGTATTTTATTGTACTATGTGTCAAAGTCGATGTGCTTGTGTTTCTGTATCTGTGAAAAAAAAGTGCAAAAAAAAAAGTTACGGCTTTTTGAAGAGCCGGCCCTGCTACATGTAGACTCTGACTTGTTCGCAGCTACAACAGCTCAGAGTCTGTAACAAATAATCAAAGTCATAGATCATGATCTTACAAATTGTGGTTGCCCCATGTATGTTCATGGCTGATTCCATCTTCACTCACCACCAGTGGAGAGTGGAGACCAACATGTCATTCCTGTTTGCTCTCTTTGTGCAGGTGGGTGTATCCCTTGCACACACACCTGACTGTGTGTGTGTGTGTGTGTGTGCTCTCTAAGTAAAGCTGATCTGTGGAGCTTTCTGTCTTTTCTCACATAGACTTGCATGTGCTACAGCAGCCTCCGTTGTCAGCCTCCGTCAGCGAAACTTTCTGGGTCACACCTTTACTTCTGATTAGAAGGAGAATCTTTGTTGTTGTTTTTTGCTTTCTGTGAAATGAGGTGATAATGGGACCATCTAGTTACTAGCATGGACCACGAGCTCTGCTTATCGAAACAGATGACTATTCAGTGAACGAGAGAGCCCTCACTTCAAACAGGTAAGCAAAGCTGCTGACTCTTCATTCATATTTCAGCACTGATGATCTCATCTCGTGACATGACGTAGTGTAAATAACCTGTAAAAACTGTAATTATGACTATTATACAGGAAGATTATGATTAGTAACATAGAGATTTTGTGGACTGCTGTCATGTCTGTATTCATCTGCTGATTTTAGTGCTTCTTTTTAAAGTCTCTTTTTATCATTTCAAATTAAGACGAGCTTCCTCAGGAGCAGAAGTTGACAAAACAATCTGACCACTTTGTAGTTGACATTGAGCTGTCAATCACATCACATGATGCTTGCGAGCAGATGGGGGTGGCCCATTTGTATTGGAATTGTGGACACAGCCCCTCAGAGAAATGTAAATGTAAACATTTACAGCTCCCGTTTCAACTAGGTCATATCCATCTACTGACTAAGATCATATGATATAATCCAAAACTTACTATCTCACTGCTTTCTGTGTCCCCCCCTCTTGTCTCCATGTCTGTATTACTAAATGGGACTACCAGGCTCAGGCCCAGGGGCCCAAGGGCTCAGGGGACCCCAAAGCCAGAGCATCTGTGTGAAATTGCTGTTTCAACTTTGCATTTCTTGTCAAAGGGCTTAGTCACATGTCAATAACAGAGCCCCAAAAGTCTTAAAAAAATGGCAAACTCATGGAATGGCCTAAACATTCACTTTGAAGATATCACCATGATGATACATTTTAGATGAGTGTTTCTAACCCCTCCATTTATCTGTAGGACTTTAGATGTGCTCTGTACTCTGTGGGGAGAAACAGCAACATGTTGTACCTGTTCTGCGGGGGTGGAGGGGCTTTTATGCATCTGGGCCCAGGGGTGCATCTGCCATAATCCACCCATGCTTGTCTCTTTCTTTTATTTCTTGTGACTTTGTTTTACTTACTGTCCATCTACAGTACAGGCCAAAAGTTTGGACACACCTTCTCATTCAGTGCGTTTTCTTTATTTTCATGACTATTTACATTGTAGATTCTCACTGAAGGCATCAAAACTATGAATGAACACATGTGGAGTTATGTACTTAACAAAAAAAGGTGAAATAACAGAAAACATGTTTTATATTCTAGTTTCTTCAAAATAGCCACCCTTTGCTCTGATTACTGCTTTGCACACTCTTGGCATTCTCTCGATGAGCTTCAAGAGGTAGTCACCTGAAATGGTTTCCACTTCACAGGCGTGCCTTATCAGGGTTAATTAGTGGAATTTCTTGCTTTATCAATGGGGTTGGGACCATCAGTTGTGTTGTGCAGAAGTCAGGTTAATACACAGCCGACAGCCCTATTGGACAACTGTTAAAATTCATATTATGGCAAGAACCAATCAGCTAACTAAAGAAAAACGAGTGGCCATCATTACTTTAAGAAATGAAGGTCAGTCAGTCCGGAAAATTGCAAAAACTTTAAATGTGTCCCCAAGTGGAGTCGCAAAAACCATCAAGCGCTACAACGAAACTGGCACACATGAGGACCGACCCAGGAAAGGAAGACCAAGAGTCACCTCTGCTTCTGAGGATAAGTTCATCCGAGTCACCAGCCTCAGAAATGGCAAGTTAACAGCAGCTCAGATCAGAGACCAGATGAATGCCACACAGAGTTCTAGCAGCAGACCCATCTCTAGAACAACTGTTAAGAGGAGACTGCGCCAATCAGGCCTTCATGGTCAAATAGCTGCTAGGAAACCACTGCTAAGGAGAGGCAACAAGCAGAAGAGATTTGTTTGGGCCAAGAAACACAAGGAATGGACATTAGACCAGTGGAAATCTGTGCTTTGGTCTGATGAGTCCAAATTTGAGATCTTTGGTTCCAACCGCCGTGTCTTTGTGAGACGCAGAAAAGGTGAACGGATGGATTCCACATGCCTGGTTCCCACTGTGAAGCATGGAGGAGGAGGTGTGATGGTGTGGGGGTGTTTTGCTGGTGACACTGTTGGGGATTTATTCAAAATTGAAGGCACACTGAACCAGCATGGCTACCACAGCATCCTGCAGCGACATGCCATCCCATCCGGTTTGCGTTTAGTTGGACCATCATTTATTTTTCAACAGGACAATGACCCCAAACACACCTCCAGGCTGTGTAAGGGCTATTTGACCAAGAAGGAGAGTGATGGAGTGCTGCGGCAGATGACCTGGCCTCCACAGTCACCGGACCTGAACCCAATCCAGATGGTTTGGGGTGAGCTGGACCGCAGAGTGAAGGCAAAGGGGCCAACAAGTGCTAAACACCTCTGGGAACTCCTTCAAGACTGTTGGAAAACCATTTCAGGTGACTACCTCTTGAAGCTCATGGAGAGAATGCCAAGAGTGTGCAAAGCAGTAATCAGAGCAAAGGGTGGCTATTTTGAAGAAACTAGAATATAAAACATGTTTTCAGTTATTTCACCTTTTTTGTTAAGTACATAACTCCACATGTGTTCATTCATAGTTTTGATGCCTTCAGTGAGAATCTACAATGTAAATAGTCATGAAAATAAAGAAAATGCATTGAATGAGAAGGTGTGTCCAAACTTTTGGCCTGTACTGTACATGCTAACTCTGGGCTTTCATGGTACATTTAATGTACTTTGATACTCAGAAACCACATGTTTTTCTAAACTAACATACTATTTGTATATTTGCAGCTGGATGGCGCGGTGCTTCTGTCGCTGGCGTCGAGTGTTAATCTGCATATGCACGCCATGCATTTCCCTGGCCCTGCTGTTCGTCTACGTCACTGTCATGTTGTGTATGGCCATGAACAACACATCAGTGCCGGGGATCCCAGTCCAGGACCAGCAAGGCGCTCACTTTGTGGCCTCAGGATCTTTTAGGAATAAGAGCTTCGCCCCACTCCCTAAAACTTTCTGGGATCTGCACCAGCAGGACGCCTACTGGAACCGCCTCCAGCTGACCATCGACCGCCATTTCAACCCCATCCTGCAGGCCAACAACTCCATGCTCAGATTCAAAAATAGCACCTTTTATGAGTCCCTAGTGAACCGAGGTTTTCCTGAAGTTACCAACTTGAGCAGCATGAAGAGAAACATTGAGCAGCTACCACAGCTGTTAAAAGACTTTGCGAGCAGCATGCACAGGAGGGACTACCCAATCCTCATCCAGCCAGATGGAGTTTGTGGAGTAGGGGCGAAGGATGAGACGGAGCCCCCTCTGCTTCTACTGGCCATCAAGTCAACAGAGATGAATTTTAAGAACCGGCAGGTCATTCGACAGACGTGGGGCCAGGCAGGATGGGTAGCAGGACAGAAGATCAACAGCAGTGAAGTAGGAGGAAGACAAGGAGGATTTGTCCGCAGGGTGTTTCTGCTCGCTACAGAAAATACTGAGGAGCTAGGTGTGGACTTGAATTACCTACTGGAGATAGAGAGCAAACAGTATGGAGACATCCTGAAGTGGGACTTCAAGGACACATTCTTCAACCTCACCTTGAAAGATGTGCTCTTCTGGAAATGGTTCTCACACTCGTGCAGCCGGGTTCGCTTCGTCTTTAAGGGGGACGATGATGTCTTTGTCCACACGCCAAAAATAATAACCTACCTCCAGGACCAGTTAAAGACGCCACAAGCATACAAGACCATGAAAAACTTCATGGTTGGAAATGTCATAGAGGCAGCCATTCCAATCCGAGTCAACACGTCCAAGTACTTTATCCCAGACAGCTTCTACAAGGGCCTCTATCCCTCGTACCCAGGTGGTGGAGGGGTGGTGTACTCGGGCTTGTTGGCCAAACGCCTGTACACCATGTCTAAAAGGGTTAACCTGTACCCCATCGATGATGTTTATGTGGGGATGTGTATGATTCGGCTTAACGCTCACCCCATCCATCACCCTGCCTTCCTCACGTTTGACTTTCCTGATAAGGAAGAGGAGGGGCGCTGTTCGTACCACACAGTCCTATTGGTCCACAAACGAAGCCCAGACCAGTTAGTTCAACTGTGGGCTCACTTGAGAGAGACACAGGAACAGTGTAAGGATGTGCCCCTGAGAAAGGACAAGGAACCAAAACTGTGAGACCAAGTTTCTATTGAACATTTTTACTACTGTAGTCTGATCGCAAACATTTTGGTGAGCTGCTGTCAGCCATGATGAAGTGACACTGTATTAACTATATACACATATTATATTTAATTATACTAATGTCAAAACCTGCGGGTCCATCAACACGCCTACTGCCTGAACAATGTTAATCATACTTTTTAAAACAGTGTTTTTACAAATTTTAATATATTTACTACAAATTTAACATTTTTAAAATATTATAACAAGTTTTTTGTACTTTATTTTATTATTTCTGGCAGCCATTGACTGTCATTTATTATATAAAAATAAACCGTAATGAGCTGATACTGTAAATCAATACTGTGACCATGTCTATTTGCACATTTTGTCAGTTCTCTATCACTGCTTTTTCCAATTTCAAATCAGTCTACAGGTATGACTGCATTCCTAAAAAATAGTAACACAGCTGTGACCATGTTTGCTTTAAGTCTGCAGACCAACATGAATGGAAGTAAATGGGGGGATAATAATGTAAAAGAAAAAACAATCAAAAACACAACATGTAACAGAAAACTGTCAGCAGTAATGTAAAGTGTGCATGATTTATTACATTAAGTACACTTGTAACAGTGCACGGCAGTAGTTTAGTGATAGGTAGCGCTAGTTTAGCATTTAGCTAAAATGCTAGGCTACTGTAACGATAACAAGAGGAGCAGGTACATAAAGCTTGTGAACAGACCCATTAATGTGAATTACACAACAACGTTTTGCTAAAGATTACTAACGTTAGCCAATTAGCCACCATAAGCTAACGTTAGTGATCATAACACAGTAAGGATGTAGCAGCAAAGTAGTGTTTTAATGCTTGTGTTTCACTTGTAAGAAGAACAACGTGTTATTTCTCCCCTCTGAAAGTACAGCCTTGGTTTACAGGCTGGAACACTGTACGCTTTGAGCTCTAATTATCTGTCAACGTACATACTGTAAAGAATTTGCTCAAAGCAACTATGCTAACATAGCTATTGTTAAAATGAGTTTGGGGTTACAGTGGTCGAGCCAGTTTTTCAGAGCTGAAACTGGGAAGCCCTCGGTACGTTTACATCATCTGCCATGAATGAGCTGCTGGTGTCAGCCCCACTCCCGTTAGGCCTGCTATAAGGAACTGACTCATGAAGAATGTGTGAAATACATTTGTGTTCATTCCTGTTTTTCTGGTTCGTTCGCATCCCAATAAACTTAACATACAACCAGTGGACTTATTTACATTCTGCCTTCCTCAGGCAACTGTTACAGATGAGGGATGTACTGGTATGAAAGCAAATGTAGAAAAAAAACATATTCCAAATGTGATAATGCAGCAAGCGCCTGGAGGGGAGAGCCCTGGGATGAGAGCAAATATAAAAGATGAAAGAACGCTGCGGTGACATCAAACTTAAGTCATAGACAAAAGGTGGAGTTAGTGGCTTTCTACATCTGTGATGGGAGTGTCTCCCAATGAGCGAGGGGCTGACAATTGCCCTCCTAGGAACAGACTGAGCTGTGGACGCTCACCCTGTCCAGTAAGACATTAATGTTTAAACTACAGTCAGTCCACTAACTCCATCAGACAGCTAACTGTTAATATCAACTTTTTTGGATGTTTACCCATTTTATGTTTATCTTTCCTCGTTCTGAGTGTCTTTATTACAGTGTTATGGTTTAAAGGTCCACTGTGTAATATTTAGAGGGATAAAGCACTGAGGTTGCAGAACTGAAACTTCTCCCGTGTGCCAAGCATGTTGGAGAACTATGGTGGCTGATATGAAAACGTGAATGACACTGTCTAAAGCCAGTGTTTGGTTTGTCTGTTCGTGGCAGACTCTATGGAAAAGGACTTGCTCTGTATGAAGATAGAAACAATGAAAGCACAACTCTTATTTTCAGATGATTACACACTAATGAAAACATCGCTGTGATTATTATATACCATTTCTGCATATAAATGCCCCTAAACCTACATACTGGACCTTTAAAAGACACATTATTAAAATACAACCAAAAGCAAAATAGTTATACTGAAAGTATAATAAGGATGTACATAAGGATAATAAGGATGTAACACATTGAAAAAGCAAAACTTCCACTGGGTATGGGGAAGACAAACTGTGCATTCCAATACCCGTAGTACCATACTACATAATATGACAGGAAAAAGATATTGTATGTCAATTGCAGTATGCCAAAAATACCAGGATGTTCTACTACATCCTGTCTGACTTTGCAACATGCAAGGCAGCATGGTTTTATGGCTATTCTGACCCACAATCAGAATAGCGTACAATACGTCACATTGATAGAGCTGCAAACAGATGTCACCTCATTGACAGCTGTAAGAAGCCGCAATGATGGATGACAGCGTATTCAAGTGACAGATAACCAGTCGAATAGTAATAATAGGAATATTAATTAAGTGAACAAAATAATCATAACATTACAACAAATGGATATAACTATAAAAATAACAATGACAGAGAACTGCAGATGTAATTTCACTGTTGCAAATATGTTATAATCTTCAATCTGTGTGGTTAAACTTTAAAGTTAAACCACACACATTGCAAAGTAACAACAGCAGAGCTCTCCGGGTTGATTTTGTCTCTGGCGAACCCGGTAAGTGGCGTTTAATTTATCTCCAAGGTAACAGATATAAAAGCAAGAGGGTCAAAGTTCAGGGTGCTGTTATGAGAAAGCTTATGCTCTGATTGTGTGTGCATACTTTTTAAGGGCAGCGACAGTATGTGATTCTGAACGCACCCAAAATCTCTCTAAACTGTGCCAAAGCTGCCAAAATTATTAATATGTACTCACAAGACAATGTTCTTTTTAGTAAGGATGCAAATACATTATTTACTAATGATTATGATAAAACCAATGTAGTATGTTTTTGTGTTTAATAACCATTATGTATACACAATGACCAATTTCATTTCATTATTACAAATGTATTAACACAGGAATTAGCTATATATGGTTGCCATTTCCTGGGGGATGGGGGTGGGGACACCGTATTGCCCTAAAAGTAAACAGCCCAACACCCTTGGCTGATCTGATCAAGAATAAATAGCTTTCAAACGTGTCAAAATATTCACACTTTAAGAATTAGGTAGCATCCATGCTTGTTAGTCTGTTGCACAACATAATCTTTGAACAGAACTGGTCTGTGAGTATTTCACACTGCAGTTAGTTCACAGCATTATGGGCTTCCACGTAAATAGCTGAGCGTACGCAGTTAGCACCACTTTGTATATGCAGCATGTTGTCTCATTAAGTTTCTGTTAACACCTGGGGGGCAAAATGTGTCAAGTCGAAAGTTCCTGTTGAACTGGTTCCAGTTGTGGAACAAATTACTCAATGACACTTCAAGTCAAATATTGTGAGCTCAGCTTTTGGGAATTTATACATTGCACTTACGGAAAATACTTTTATACACACACTTGTTTTACTTATGCACAACTGCTTCTAAAAGAGATGGGTCTTTGAACGTGAAATGAAAAGACGGACATTCTTTACAATTGGAAGACACAGCTCAAGAATGAATCTATTTCCAAAATGTTCATCATTACACAAACCAAAATCAGCAACTGCGTAAGGAATGTCAGCAAAGATGAGTCACAAATCAGTCACAACAACTATTGAATACAGCGTGATACAAAGTCAGCTGAAACCAGAGCATGTTGATCTTTCAGCGTCTGTGACAAAGTATATCACCAAGCAGCTGCATTTAGAAAATCGAATCTTTACAATGAGCATGACATTTAGCTTTGTAAAGGAGCATTAACTGACCAGCTAGTTAAAACAATATTCTTCAAAGGACTGGTGAAACTGGAAAGGTGTTTCAATTCCTACCACACCCTGGACTTCTTCAACAGTCTGAACTAACAATTAAAATCAAACATGACAAACGTGTTCTGATGATAGTGCCAAGGTTCTGAGTCACACACTTTTTGTGAGTTTGTTATAGATTTATTTTGTCCTGTAGAGGAGGACGAATGGATATAACAATTAACCTTAACCTGTAAATGTACAGTAAGCCTGGGAGTACTGTGTATCCTGTAATGTTCTGCACTTGAGATCAGAGTATAAACATGCGTGAGTCTGAGACACTGAGAGCAGAGTGGAAACTGATCCATCAGAATTTCAAACATGATTCTCATTACCTTTGACTTAAAGTTTGACGTCACTGATATCTGATTTTTTTTTTTTTCAATTCACTTTCACAAGCAAGACTTATTTTGTTCCGCTGAGTTAAAGTCCAGTCATTTAATGACTACACCAGGCAGTCCAGAGGCAGTGACAGCTGCAGCACAGCAGAGCACACTGTCTCATGATGTTCACAACTCTCCCTCTCGATTGTCCGTGTCCACAGTGCTGCCACTATGAGCCATTTTCTGTCCGTTCCTCTTGGTCATCATCTTCTTCCTCACTGTCCTCCTCCTCGCTCTCACTGTACTCGTAGTTACAGCGGTTAGTGTTTACAAAGAGGTCGCTCTCATCATCTTCAGAGTCACTATATTCCTCGTCTTTCTCTTCTTCCTTTTCCTGCTGTTTGTTCGTTGCTTCCTGGTCTGACGACTCCTCTGTAAAACCCTCTGGCCTGCAGGAAGTCAAAGAAAAAAACAATAAACTCAGTTACATATGACAAAATGATGCTGGTTGCGTGATGTGTGTCCACATGTGTGTGTGTGTGCTCACCAGAGCTTCTGTTTTTGCAGGTACTGGATGTGATCTTTGTAGAGAATGAAGCTGATCTCTGCCTTCACCTTCTCTCCTTCCTCAATGGGATCCACAATTACATAGTCACCTTTGGGATCAGAGAGCAGGCATTTATGAAATGTAAACCAAAAAAAAAAAAAAAAAAATCATTATAAAGTTCCAAATGTATAGATATTGTGGTAGCATATGTAAGAAAAATAAATAGCTGGAAAAGATGTCAGTAAGCCAATTAGATATTTTTGGAGTTGATTTTAGAGCCTATAGTAAAGGAAAGATCCCATTCTCTAGCTGCACAATTACTAGAGAGAATATTTCAACATTTAACATCTTCAAGAAATCAAGTATGCAAAACTAGATAGTCTGATATTTACCAAGTTTATGATTAATAAAACCAAATAATGCACATTCATAAGACATTTCCCTGTGAAATACTGCCATCTGTCTCCCTATTCTCAGTCCTGCGCTATATTTAAAAGGTATCCTGTGGATGTTTAGTAGCTCTATAGAGCTATGAGTGGGTCTGTGTTTTGTTTGGACGCGCATGCATGTACACAATACACACTATTCCAGTGATCTACGAGTGGCAATAATGCACCAACACAGAGCAGCAGTGCACCATCAAAGGCAGAGAAGGAGACCACGAGAAAGGAAACAATGCAGGGTTCAAAATGTTAAAAAAAAAAAAAAAATCTGTTTTGAAGGTGTTTTATGAGGAAAAGCACTCAATAGGTTTGTTTGACCTCAAGGTCTTGTTCCAGTGAGCACTAGCTGCAGCAATAGAGCTGGTTGATTGATACTTGACTTGCAGCACTATATCATGAAACCATATACCGTGCTATGAAAACTGAAGGTTATGATACCACAGCATTTGCTTAACAAATGCAACTGCACACAAAATCTCACCTGAGTGTGCACGTCTCCTTTCCTCCTCCGCTGCCAGTCAGGCTTTTGACACATAATAAATATAAAAATATTGTTTCAAGTTTCAATTATTATAAAGCTTCTGTTTTTATCCCTCAAAGGGTCACTGCAATTAACAATGACAATAACTGTGTAATACTCTATACCGTGGTATTTTCTGAGATGGTTCATTCTGAATGAATCGCAAGTGACGTGAAAACATGCCAAGTTTGTAAAAAAAAAAACAAAAAAACACACTTTATTTTTAGGTACAGTAAATTTCTGGCACAGAGCTTTTATTTTGAAGTGCTGTGTCCTGCTGGGGAGTGAGAGACAGCAAACTAACTGGATGACATGACCAAACACAAGTATGACGATGAATATATTAAACTGTGTGGACCATGAACAAATGACTAAGGAAAAATCTGGACCCCGTGGCTGCACTAGTTGGGAACCACTGATCTATAGTGCTTAGTGTCACCATCCTATTCCATCCCTTACCTCTCTTGATCCAGATGTTCTTGCGGAACTTGGTGGGCATGCTCACAAGGAAAGTCTCGCCCTGGGCGGTGACAGTTTCATGGAGGTTGTTGCCACGGCTACCAGTGATCTGCAAGTGCACAGGCAGAGGATGGAGGTGAGTCAGGTAAATGCCTTGCTGCTATGTAGGTTGTTTACAAAACGTTAAATACAATGCAGTCCACACACGGCTCACCTTCACAATCTGCTGGTTCTCTGTGGGAGTGACAAAGTCTCCAAGAACCTCCTTGACAACATGTTTGCGTTTGGTGGCCTGTGACATTATAAAGAGTGAGCTTCAGCTTCCTTCGCCAGCTGAGGAAACAGGAGACAGTGGTCACCGTGCAGGTAAACAGCAATGCACTCACCTGTGCTCAAATAACGTTATATTGAAGGAACAATGAAAACGTTTACATTGATAAACTACAAGATAATAATAAGAACTAACAGGTTAACGTAAAACTACCTAGGCTCACACATATTAGTTATGAGCTAGCTTAGCAACTTTAATACAACTTTGGCTACTACATGGTTTATATAATGTTTGGACAAATGACAAAACTTCACATTCCCTTAACTTATTATGCTAGCTAGTTAGCTCGAAACGTCAGCAAATAGCTGCTTTCTCACAATTAATATCACATTACCATTGCCAGTGCTTTAGCTAAGCTAACGTTAGCTATCTCAAAACATTATCCCCAGGTGAACCACGTTAGCAGGTCACATAACTACCTTGAAAGAAAGAAACGAGCAACGTCAATGGTGTCTCTACGAAACAGAGGGTGTCTCTATGTAGCTTGACAGCAGCTAAATTTCACTTTCGAATAAATAGACACGTTGGAATATTTTAGAAAAGCCGGACCACATGCGTTCCTGTTTTCCAATAACTCCAATGTTACACTTCCGGTGTCACGTAGTCTATACTTTTCAAAATAAGGGTTTCTATCTGTGTTTCTTTTACCTGTAGGCCAATGGCCATGTCATTACTGCTTAGAAGAATTACACGTAACATTTCAGATTTACACTTGGGCTTTAACCTTGTCACTTTAGCATCGCTTCCTATTAGCTGTCTGGCTATATTAGTATCTCACAAGATTTTGTTTCTTAAACCGTATTGCTCCACACAGTCTACTTCTTCCCCTGCGGTACCTTTGCATTGTGGGAAATAGAGTTTTGTTTTCTCTCAATTTGGGCAACATTCAAGATCACTAGAATCCAATGTTGTCGAAGTGTTCTCACACACAACTCGAGGTAAACTAGTCTTAATCAGTGTTAACTTTAAAATTTCACCTATTTTTGCTTAAGGCCAATGAATTGTTAAATACTTTTAAGCAAAATAACCCATACCCCATTGTTGCAGATAATGTTTATAAAGTAAAATATTGTCCCCACATACATTTTCTGAATTTCTATCTGTGTTATTTTAGTTTCTATTTGTATTAGGTATTTTTTTTTTGTTTTGCAAGTGGTTTGTGTTGAATTGTTCACTTTATATCTGTTGTTTTGTGTCAGCATGATGGCACAAGAATAATTTTTTCCTTTTTATGTGTCTCAATAATCACATAACGTAGGGCCAGACATGATAATTATTAATTAATTTATTCATACATTTGATATAGGTCAATATAACTTCAGTAATTTGATGCACCATTGTTTATTTCTGAATAAGGTTGATATAAAGACCATAAACTGTATTAATATAGATTGTATAACAGTGGTGCTCGCAAGACAAGATGATTACTGCATCTTATGAGACTAGACCAGCCAAGGCATCCATTGGTACTAACCGTGTTAGCATAGCTTGTCAGGAAGGGGCTTAGTTATGCTATAAACTTCGGCTAAATTTTCAAAAGGGTCCCTTGAACTCTGACCTCTCTGACCTCAGACATTTGACATCTAAATGAAAATGGGTTCTGTAGGTACCCGCATTAAAACAGGATTGTTTTAAGCTCAAATGATTACTGTATGAGTATCAGTTTATGCACAAAACTAGTAATATTAACCATAAAAGAAGAAATCAGAGTATCCATATTGACTAGGTTTTCAACTAGCCTGTATGCTTTAACAGCATAATAAAATTCCTGAAATTTAGTTATGACTTTTGGTTTTGGTGTGCTACCCCTGTCAAAAATCCTGGGGACACCACTGCAGTAAAATCTATTTTAAAAATTATGTTACATTTGTTTGTACTTTCAATTGATGCCAGTGCATATAAAATAACACCACACACAAAGAATAGGATTCCACACTTTTTTATTCAACCTTCATTCATTTCTTTCTGTCTTACAGCAGTTTTTACAATTACATTGCAATTATGTAGTAATGTGCAGATCAGTATCAGGGAAAACCCTACACAACATTAGCATCGACACTCGTGACAAAACATCCAGGAAAACTCACAAGACAGAAGTCTAACTACGACTAGTGCACTCTCTTTATCAAACCAGGGCTCAGTTACTGTGAGGAAAGATGAGTTAAAACCAACACTGTCTAAAACACAGCAATCATATGACCTGACGGACTAACGGAATGAAATGCAGACATAAAATTTACTTAAAAATTTCTATAAAATTCCTCAACAAAGCTAGCTTTATTAGAGCTGGTATATTATTAGTAAACTGACACATGGTGTGAGGTATGAAGGTGGAACACTAGTCTGGTTTAATGGAAAAGTAACATTATTCGGGCTTTATGTGTGTCTGATTGTGATCCTCGTGCATTCTGGATCAAATGTGTGTGTGTGTGTGTGTGTGTGTGTAGTGTAAAGGGGGGCTAGCTGGCAACTGTAGTACATGTAGTATGATGGTATGTGTGTGTACGTGTGATATGGGGTATTAGTGCTTTAGTTGACTACAGCAGATGAGCACATCTTGTTGATCCCACAAGCATTGGACCCCCTGTACAGGTAGTAGTAACCCTGTATGAGAGAGAGAGAGGAATTAAACATACATACTCAAAATGTTATATGGGCAGCAACAAAGTACAAAAGAAACTTAATTATTTCTATTTATTGTTTTTCTGTGTCATCAAACCTTCCATTTTAATGCAACACAATACAAAACAGTAGTTAGTTATGTACAGTGTGGTGCAACACAACCGAACAACACCAGACTGTGGCCCTGTTAAAGGGATAGTTCGGCCGGGTTGTATGGTGGTTTTACGTAATTTTCTTGGGACAAAAAAGTTCACTGCAACCTCAGAGTTGTCTCAGTGTTGCAGGAGCGTTAATGTATATTCATTGCAACTAGCCACAGCTGTTTGAACAGCATGGAAAAACACAAACACGCACTATCTTTGAAATCTTTAGAAAAGAGAAGTTTTGTTTCAGTCGGATCACGCAACAGCACTTTCTGACCAAAACAGCTGATCTGTGGCGTAGTACAGTGTGTGACACAGTTGCACTTATGTGTAGGAATACAGAGGTTCTACATTTGCAAAAATGTTGTGCCAAAGGAAAGGGCTGTCTGATGGCAAGGTAAAATGTGTCAACATACTCCTAATATAGTGTCCACTTAGACTGATATTGACTCTTTTAGGTAGGCCTTTTTTAGGTGGCTATAATACGTTCTGCTGCAAACCCTCGGCTTGTCGACTGCCATCTATTATAGGTAATACACTGACTATGAATAAGTACCTCATACAACCCCACGTTAAAAACCAGAACAATCCCTTTAAGGTTTTGCAGTGTCAAATTCTACTGAGCACACTGACACATTTCCTTTAAGCCATGACATGACATGACACTGGTGACTGGATTTCCCTTTGTCTTTTCAAATTAAGAAATTCTGGTGAGATCTTTCATTTTAAAATCAGAATGCAGCTTCTAGTTGCTCTATTTTCAACAATTGTATATATAAATATAAATATAATGTAAATATTATTTTAAAAACCCTTTTTAATGCATTCATTCTCTAATCCACAAACAAATACTGTTAGTAGCTGAGGTTGCCTTACCTGCTCTCCATAATCCTCTCCCCAGCTGTTTTTGATGGCCCAGAATGGGACACCTTTACCTGCAAGCACAGAAACATTAATATAAAGTGATAAAAAAACAACAACAGGATAACAACAGAATATAAACACTTACGTTCTCCATATCCGACCATCAGCACAGCGTGGTCGATCATCCAGGGGTTGCAGAAGATCTTCAGAGGGTGAGACACACCCTTCCTATAGAACTACAGAAATTTAAGAGAACAATGATGAATATAAGATGCATGTTGACACAATGCTGTTATCTGTTTATGTATTTATTTACATGGAGGTGATGACAGTGTGTCGAATCTGAGTCATGCAACCATTGCTGTGGTGGGTAAGTGTTTACCTGCATGGCAAAGGCATTCAGTGCAACAGAGATTGGTCCATTCTCAGCCAGCCAGGCTGCAATTTCTGAGGAGGAAAAAGTACTTAAGTCCATTTCACAACACTTTGTTTCAAAGTGACACAGAGCTGATTTTCTAGTTACAGTTAATACACCTGCTAAATCAACACCCATTAATTCCTACTACATGAAATGAGGAAGCATTGGTGTTGTGTCATTACCATTTGTTCATTTAATCTACTTAGTATCACTTTAAGATAAAAAAAAGGCTTTTTTGTGTGTTTTAGTCATAATTTCTGTTGACATGTTTATCAGTGCTTGGTCTTCCCTTCCTCCCCTTTCTATTGGCTCAGCCCACTCACCGTTCTCATCTTTGGACAGTTCCACAGAGCTGTTGATGTAGGCGGCCACCTTCCTGGTGGTGAAGTCGCATTTGTTTTTTTTCCCGGTGTAGGAGTAATCAGTTTCTGTCTCAAGACCACCTTAACAGCAAATGAACGATGGAGATTAAAAAGTTAAAGCTTGTCCTCAGCACATGCATGATTTGCAGGCTGCTAAGAGTCTTTAAACAGTTGTAATTTCCTATGAAAAATAATAGAGATTAGATTGGGATCAAAAAAATGATTGCACACATCACTTGTCCTCCACCCATGTCTCTCTTACCCAGTTTCTCAATAGCTTCATAAGCGTTTGATGGCAGCCCTCCTCTGCAGGCCTGGTCCAGCCCATCACAGTCAACCAGCTCTGTCAGGGACAAATCAATGAACCAATCAAATCATGGCTTTTATCTCTAATACAAACAAGTTTTTTGTTCTGCAGGAGAAAGTTATTGAATTATTGCACCATCTGTGTTTATTTAGGTGTGTGCACATATGTATGTGTGTGTGTATGTGTTTGTGTGTTACCTTGTTCAGAGAGGGACAGCAGCGACCCATTTTTCAGGAACCACTGGCCTTCAATGTTGCCTGTCACAGAAAATGCCCAGCAGGATCCACACATACCCTGCAAGACACACACACACCAATCAGCATGAAGTAGGCATACAGTATAATTTATTCATCAGTATCGTGTTATTTATGGTGACTGCCCTTTAATTCAAACATGTGTTTTGGTACCTGGTCCTTAACGGAACTGACAGCTCCATGATCCCGCCAATCCCAGCTGGCAGGGGCGGGGCCTTTGGCAGGAGCTGCTGGTTTCATTGGTTGATGAAGAGTCCATTGGCTCAGCAGAGGGTTCAGGTATGTGGAGCGAAACTCTTCCTCTGGAGAAAAACAGAAGGAGCAGTCAAACTTTTGTGTTTCTTAAGTGGATTTTTTGCAAAAAAAAAGCTGAGGCAACACATGAAAAGCAGAAGGTGCATTTCCTTTGTGGAAGCTGTGTGGAAATAAAAGCAAACACACACACGCAGACACGCACCAGTTAGGTCGCTGAACTTGGTGACTCCATACTCAGCTGACCCTTGATCCAAAGACTGGAGCTTCTCCGCTGTCTTCAGGTTCTCGTGGAAGATGCGCAGACGATGATCTGCCTCTGCAGGATCAAAGGTCAAATAAGACACATATTAATAAATGATTTGGAATTTCA